GTGAGAGGGGGGCGGCAGCGGCGGCAGCGGCTACGGTGGTGGTGACGACGATGTTGGGAGCACAATCATAGCGTCAACTTGCTGATGTCGAGATTGGGCTATTTTCATCTGACATGTATAGATGGAGGAAAGGAAATGAAGAAGCACTGGATCAAAATTCACAGGAATACTCAGGGTCGCCCCGCTATGAAGCGGTACCGGACAGAAAGGTTGACCAAAAAACCTAAAAACTCCAAACGCCTGGCCTACGTACTCCACAGCAGCACCTATTGGCCCGGAACTTCCACGGGGTATTGGGGTCCTCCTTCTGACGTAGTACGCCCCGGAGGTCTCCTAACGGAGACCACAACTGTCAAAGACAGATACGGACAACACGAACAGGAGGCCGGAGTAACCAGCGCGGCTTATATAAGGGCTAAAACAAAGTAGTGCTATGGGCGCGATGGGAAGCTTTTGGATGTTGGCACCGAAGAACCGTGTTCAAGAAGCGGTGATGTTGAGATGTACAGCAGGCGGGGAAGACGACACAAAAATCGGTGTTGCCGCAGCATTGGAGAGCCGCAGAACAACGGATGGAACGAGCGGCACCACTATTACTGTGATGTTCAGCAACGTGGATAGAACAAACAGTTATTTCGGGCGAAAAACGGGGATTTGGTATATATGTGTGCATTGTCGATTCGTTCATTCTTTTCAGTAGCCATTCTGCACGTCGTGTTCTGTGATTGATCATAGAAACAAAGAATGCGTCTCCCGTGGGTGGGAAGGGTGGGACGCGTTCGGGAAGCGTCGAATCAAAACAAAACATCGCTTCTATGAGATACCTTGACAACACGATCCATTGCGGATGTGAGCACCGTCGGGGGGTCGTTCACCATGCTCATGGAAATTATTGGTTCAGTGTGAGCTTCCCAAGATCCAATTCTGTCAAGGGATACAGCACGTACAATTGGTATCGGTGGCGGGACGTACGTGGACGGTGGGGAAGACGGCGGGCGAATTGAATCTAGGTGGGCGGCGAAAATTGGAGGGCAACGGCAACGAACTGCTCATCGTAAATCTGTTGGCCGCCCTTCAACGGCTCTAGCAACCATGGAAGATTTTCAAATTTCAAACAGCTTAGACACGGTAGTCTCAAACACTCATCACCCGTACGTGATCCAAGCGTTTTCGTCGTCATGCATACCGATTGCAAGCATTGAACATCCCTGTGCGACTTACGTGATAGGTAAGTACCCCAGGTTATTTCAGCCGGCCTAGCTTGCCAACTAATATGGACTACAGTATCCCGGTATCGTGCATCCAATAATTGAAAGAGGTTAACCTTATTGCCAGCCTCCGAAAGTTTAGCAACCAGGTCAGTGTTTCACCTGTGAAGACCGAGGATGTCCGTGTCGGCAACCCAATCCAGCGCCGCTTTGGCATCCAGACGATACCGTGCTTCACGGAGAGCGTTTCCGGCGTCTTGCCGCTCAACAAGGAATGCGTTCGAGCAGACCGCGGGCGATTGCACCACACCCACCCCGTGCCCGGCCCACTCATGCCCCCCGTACCTGCAGCACGCACGTTCGCGGGAATGGCAACCAAGAGGCGCCGGCACAGACGCAGCTGTTTCATATTTGCTCTCTTTTTCTGTGGGCGTTTCGCTGACGGTTTTGCTAGTTGACACCTCCTAATGTTTGGGGACGTGAACATGACACTCACATGCGTATGAGACCGATAATAACTTCCTTGAGGTCCCATGTGGTGACCGTGCCGATCTCGTCCGCGGTGTAGACGGTGTAGGACAGCATCTCCGTGTTCCAAAACACCCGTCGTTGCCGTTGCTCCTGGCTATCCCCACCGCTCCACGCGGTCGACGGGGGATGCCTTGTTAACGTGAACGCACACGAAGCATGGGTTATGTAGTAAGAGCGAAATGGGGGGGAGGGTCAACATTTAACTACGAGGTGATGTAATGTAACACGCAAAGAGTTGGTACATGATTCGCTACGATGAGTGATGGCAACTGTGTTAGCCATCAAGATGAACACTATCAAACCGTACACCAGAGAGCAGGACCAAACCCACGAACACAAAAATAACAACGATAACAGACCAACCATTTTCGAGCACCACGAGTTCCAAGCATGTTAAGCACAACATGCCTCGCGCTCTCTCGAAGGAGGTTCGCAATGCCAATCTCCAGTCATCACCTCACCTAGGGCGTACCTGCTTCTAGAGTGTCGTCTGAACGCAAAGGTGGCGTATACCGTGGCGTGCTATACCAACTACAGTAGTTTGTCCTTCTCTCGAGAAATGATACGTGCACCAGATCAATCAAGCGTCTCGCGAAGGTACGGCCATCGTCAACGTTGACTCTGTTTGAGCTCCGAATTGTGCGGCATCTCCTCGCGACCACACGAACCGCAGCGATTCGCTTCAGGTCGAAGGGAGAACAATTTTGGGTCGTACGCGTTCAACTGTGCAATACCATCAGAAACGTAGGTAAACTGACGGTGAACGTCATTTTCTGCGTTGTCCTGCCCAGCATGTGAAACGTCTGACCTTTGCCGCACCCCCTGGTATTTGCGGAACGTTGCGGCGAGGCGTTCTTGAAATGAGCGATCGCGGGAGCTGCCTCCGGAGGGGTCTGGGCTCGCTATTGAAGCATCCCACCTGTTGTCGTTGTTGTTGCTATCGTTACCTTTAGAACAACAGCATTGATCTCTTTCTACGTAGTACTTCCAGTCCGAGGCTACCCAAAAACAAACTACGCACTATACTAACGCCGAAAGACTCAGAGAAAGTCTTACCATTCGTAAGAAGATCAAAGTCCTAGACTACAAGTTGAGGAAAGAGCAACGAAGTACATGCAAACCCCCAACGAGTTTGATTTTTCTGTACATTCCTCCATTTGTTTAACTATCACGCATACCTTTATTGGCCACTGCTCTACACAAGTACAGCTCGGCCTACGAGGCGACCGTGATAATGACCCCCCGCCACAAACCCCCCTACCGTCGTTCGGTGGTTCTTGAGTTTCTTCTAAAAAAAAAATGTTTGAGCTTCGTTATCGATGGCGAGTAACGTTAGGAATTTTATGTCTCTTACGTAGTTCCGTCGAGATATTCGTATGCGCCGTATGCATGCCGCAGCCCGTAGGTCGAAGGATACGACATCAACTAACTCCTAACGCTAACCAAGGTTGACGGCTGCCTCTTTCGCGCGAGCGACGTTTCTTTTGAGACCGTTTCGGTAGTTGTTTGTCAAGGTACAAATGGTCGGACATTCAACAGGGTCTCCCATCCACCGGGTGTGTGATGGCTCACGTAAGGACTTAGGAAAAAGTGGTGCTTGAAAAAGTACATCTTTGACGCCGTACTTCAGGAGCGAGACGGGGGAGCTACCACCCCCGCGCGCAAGTCGTCATCCCTACCACCACTGGGTGACTCGCAGTAGATACTAACCGTATTGTGTCAGCAGCTGCCCTAGGCCTGTCGCGGTTTCGACGGTTACTTATGTCACCCGCTAAACACACAAACACTCACGACGCATTCCCATCAGCAACGCGGGGGAGAACGTCGGCTCCGTCACCACCACCATCGCCGCCTTGGGCCGCGTCTGGCACCCTCTCCGCCTCATCGGTGGTTGCAACCTCGCCCCGTTCGGGCGGTGCTGCCGCTACATCGTCTGCCCCGTGTTGGTTGTTCGCGATTTCGGTCGCTCTCGCGGCGCTAGTCCCGGCGGCAGGGGACGGAGGTGGGAGGGAGTCACCCTCGCCATCGGCGTCATCGTTTTCTTCGACGTCAGCGTGGTCGTCTTCTCCCTCTTCCTCTTCGAGAGACATCTCGAGGCTGCTGCTCTCCTGGCTGCCGTCCTTACCCTCGGTGGATAATGTGTCGGAGTCTGTGACGGTCGACGCGGCGATTGAGGTCGATATCATCTCCACCTGTGGAATGGGAGCGAGAGGGTCAAAGTGGTCGTTTGTAGCGGGGGAAGGTGCACTCCATGTACTTCATGGATCGCCATAGTCGCCATAGTCGCAAGGAAGCGGGCGGCGGTAGATTGTTCCACATCGCGAACGAGGGTGCACAAATGCACCCACTCACGTTCCATCGCCAAGCCTGCATAGTAAAAACACTCCTCAGGATTATCACCCGTAGTGGTTGGGGGTGTTCCAAGCTCAGATTTTCTTCCAAGAAAGAGAAGAAGGATCTCAAGCACGGCTTGGAACTGCTCGACGTCCTCACCTGACACTCTAGAGCGGTCACGGTTACCGGCATATCTCCGTCAGCGTGTCCACCCCCACCGTACATGCGATCCGAGACGGGTTGCCTGTTTATCCACGTGAACAAACGCTTGAACCTGCGCAGGAAGGACACGCCACCCATAAGACAACGGGGGGAATCAGAACGCTGCAGGCTAGGTTGTTTTCGTGCTACGTTCTCGACTTTTTTCCAACATGCACCAACAGAAAACAAACAGCCCGTTGCTCCAGAGAAACAGTATGCCATTACTCCCCTCATGCGGGGGATGGCGACTGAGTGTCTTGAACATGTATCACCGGGCGGGGTACGTCTAGAGAAAGGGCATGGTATACAGACTTGTACTTCGACAGATTGTGGCGAGCAGCCTACTGGTTCGAAATAATACCTTTGGCATCACCGAGCTCCTCCTCTGAGAGCACTCATGGTCTTCTGGTGAATGTGTATCACTCAACGGCGAAGAACCACCGGGGGGGGGGGCACGCTAGATGCACGGTGGGGTCGTTCGGTACTTCAGACTCTTGGAGAGCATACGCAAAAGGGATTCTTCGCATGTACGGCAACACCGTCGCATCTTGCCCCTCACGCAGACAAGCAAACGTTTTGTTGAGCTTTCGATCTCGCAGTTTTTCTCACGACGGGTAAACACCGTTACGATGGATTAGCCTCCAGTCTCCAAACCCTTCAGGACTGGACTCGCATTGTAGGGACCCAGGTCTTCGAATAGCTACTATGCAATATTATTACTTTGGCACAATAATAACGTAGACTCCAAGAACTTGAAATTAGAGTGTGGGTGGTGAATATGATAGCTCTGGTGACAGAGGCGACTTGGTATCTTGATTCAAGTGAAACGAACGTCGACGGTCTTGAACCACACTGTCAAATCCACAAATCACACAACAAACGACAACTTCCTGTGCAATTTCCAAGAAACTCTGTCTGTCGATGTTGCCAAGCACTTCTATTGTACACGCTTTAATTGGTTGCCTGGCACACCTGAGCCCCACCCTGGCCGGCGGAATAGCCCACAGCGCCAGGAAACCCGCAGAATCGGTGGACAGGAGTAACGGAAAGGGGTCAAGAAAAGCCAGGCACGTTACCGGATACTGGTGCAGCTCCTCGCAACACCCTTCATGTCGCGCGTGCTCAAAGTTCCACAGCTGAACAACGGGTAAAACAGAAGAGGGAGGCGAAAGGGGTGAAAAAGAGACAAATGGACACAAAACGAAAGCTGCTAGAAAGCCGAGGAGACTTTTCGAAGGTCTACCACACGTATGTGTCCGTAGATATTGGTCTTGACTCCATGCACATCCCTCTCAAATACCCTCTCAAATAGTGCTTTGATTTGCCGCTGTCTCTACCTAGATATGTCCTTGATATAACTCTCGTACCTGAATGGATCCATCGGTGTTACCAGAGGCGATAAGACCTAGGTGGGAGCTGTACCGAAGAACAGTGATCTCTGACCAAGAGGCGTTGGTGATTCGCCGCAGCAGGGCCCCGTTGTCTTGCTGCCCAGCCGGCAACGCCGAGGAAGGGACGGGGGTAGGCAAGGATGTTGTTGGACACACTGGTCCATTATTATGTCAGTAGGGCGTTTTTTTCCCAACAATGTGTGGTGGCAGCTAATGGTGACCGCTCAAAGATGGCACTGCCAGAGAGAACACTTCCCACGAGGTCATTTGGTGGTGGCATGGTGACAACGCTTTCAAGGAGACAGAAAAGAGATTCAAAAGCATACCTAAAAAAACATTTCGGGTAGGCAAAACCTGCTTGCTAGCTAGATGCTGCGGTGGAGCTGCTTCGCGCAAAAGTATCGCTATCAAGCAGCGATGGTGCATGCGGTGCGAAGGGCCATTATCATGACAGCTCACGCCACGCCGCCACCCACAACGTGGCGGGAAAACAAATATTATCGTATTCGGGCAGAGGGCACGAGGGAATGGGGGGGAGGAGAGGGAAGTAGCGACAGACAGGGGGTAGGCTCGTACATGGTTGCACCTATTATCGTTTGGCGCAGCTGACCGCATGCTCATCCGGAAGTCTGGGAGATCTTCCAAGGAGATGAGGGCTACCAAGTGAAAAGAACGGACCACCATGGTCTACTCGAGGTACAATGGCTCCAACCAAGCACCACTTCGATGGCCTCTCTTCCGGTGCCAGCTACATTCGTGCGGGCTCTGGCTAGGGGGTTTGGAGGCCTTGTGTTGCTTCTGGCTACCGATAATCGTGAGGGTTGTGCACTATTTACTGCCGCATCGTGGGCCAGTTTTGGAGTCTTCACATGTTAATATCACCAAGGGTTGTATCTGATAGCTGTTGGTAAAACTTATTGTTTGCCCCAACGCCGCTACTGCGGTTGTGCACCGAAACATGCGGCGTAGAAATAGGGCATTGTCATTGGCCCGGCGGGAGGGACAGAGAGGGGGGGAGGGGGTTCGCGGTCGCACATGGGTAATTTGTGTGGCGAACCACTCTTGTGGGAATTTATTGGGCGCCGGCGAACGGGGATGTGTGTGCTCCTACCCAACCCCTCACCACAGATTCGTCATGGATCGAGATGGATCGGTCGTCGGAGGCGGAGATAAGCAGGGAGTGTTCCTCGATGAAGATGAGGGCTCGAACGTTGCCTTCGTGGGCCTTCCCCTTGCACTCAGCGTACTTGTAGTTCTTCAGCTCGGTGTAGTTAGCTTGGCTGTATGCCTGTTGTAGGAGGGGAACATGTTGTACTCGCACGTGTTTAGATGGCATCAGGGTTATATCTGGGCATCATTCGTCGATGTACAAGAGGTGAAAATAGTACAGACGTTGGCAGAGTTTGCTCATGTGAAGAGACCAACGTTGTGCCTGTTTAATCTTGACCTGCGGTATTGGCGACAAACCTTGATGTGGCCGAGCCCATCGCCGGCCAATATCGTCCTTCCTCTTGCTCCGAGGCACATTGAGAAAATCTCTCCGTCTCTGTTGTTGACACCCTCGACTGCTGCTTCGGGTGCATCTTGCGATCTCTGCTGCCTAGCATCCGTGCAAAGAAGCTCGCCCGTTGCTCCATCCCATACTTTCACGGACCAAGCTAGGGCATGGAACGGGAACGACGGCCAGAAACGGCTTTTTCACGGGGGGGGTATGTCTTCTTGTCCGCCTTTATTCTATCTCCAAACCGATGACCACGCGTTATTTTCGCGACAGGCAATCCTTCTTGCTTCTTGTGGGAACATGGATGACTTATGGAACGCGCCAACGTTAACTGGACACTGCATTCTTCGCAATAAGGCGGAGACGATGCAGGGATGGGGATGGGGGGACTAAACGCGGTAGGTACCATACGAAACGGGATCTCGGGACCTTGCGGCAAACGGACTCGCAAGTACCTGGAATGTTCGGATGAAAGAGACACCATCATGGTACGTGTCGCTTTGGCATTATGATTTTAGCGTGTACAAACAAGGTTTTTCTTTGTCAAACTAGCGGACTAAGAAGCTGATCATCCCACCTGACGCAGTCACGAAAGTCAGGTTTGTTGTGTTGAAGTAGACGGCCAAAATCGCTGATTCGTCCGTCAGATTTTCGCACTCGTCTCGAAGGACCTGCACACCCATCCCAACGTAGTCGTCATTACGGTGGCCACCGCGCACGAGGGACATCGCGTTTTGTTAAGGGCAGACGCTAAGACAACCAAGCTGAGGGAGCCTGAGAGACTCAGGTAGAACAGATCACATACATATATGTAGGTCTACAAAAGCCGTGACTTGAACAGAAAGGTCACTTTAGTCCGGATCAATGCCGAATTTCATTGTGTACATCTGACCCCGCTGGGCCGATTTTCAAAGCTCGGTTGCCCCACTACCAAGAGGGCGCCAGTGTCGAAGATTTTTGTTCGAAGCTCTCCATGAGATCTCTGCATTGCCGTTCTTCTTGGCACCGGCAAATCTTCTCCTGTGGAACAAGAAACAAGGAACAAGACCCTGTCTCAACCGAAATGGCTGCCCATGGTTGTCAGGCTGAGCATCTATTTATTGTATATGACACGTTTTCCTTCGCCTCGGAGACAGGTGAAGGACTGCTCTCACCTCGAAACTGTCCACAGTCCGTCCGCCCACGAACACCCGTTTTGAAAGGGGGTTCACGGTCATACACGTGATGACAGGCTCCTGTTCAATGGAGAAGAACGAGCACGAAACAACAGACACAACCCCACAACACAGACGAAAGTGGCGTTTTATCCTTAGCACTCGCCATGCGGTGTGGTCATGCTCCAACCACAGTCCCAATGGATGTTTTCCCTGAACAAACAACCAGGACGAGTAGTGAAAGAGGACTCTCTACTGGGACCCACAGATTGGAAAACACGTCGGTAGCACGAGGCTTTGAAACAATTCCTTAGCGTGGGTTTCCCAGAGGAACACAGGTTGGCTCTAGTGCTCTAGCGATGATCTGTCCTACGTTGTAGGGCGGCGGCACGCCGGAACGATGTGCTAACTATGCCGTACTAATTTTCGCTGCTCGGAGCAAAATCACCCTTCCTTCCTCCAGTGAAACGCTTGACAGATTTGGGAGGACACTGCGACTCCGGTCGTTCAACGTGGTGCTCCCCCCTTCCAATCTCTGTGCCATACTCTTGGCCGTTTCTCCCCTGAGAAAATGCCAATCACATCTCCTTGTGAGAGGGAGTGTACCTGTACCCTCAAGCCTATGCAGTGTAGCTTGCACGATAACCTCCCCCCGCGCTACGATACCCCCCGAGACCTACGCACGAAACAACCCTGAGCGTTTGTTTCTTGAATCTGCATCCAGGTGCCGGTGTCCCAAGAGGCAGAAAAATATTGCTTTTACATGCAACGTCCGCATCATCCAACGACAACCCTCCACTCCCAGACATGACACGGTTTTTCCAAGCGCTCAACTGCTATGAAAGGGATGTGTGATTGTTATGCCAGCTACGGGAAGCCCTGCCAAAACGAAACCGGGAGCCTGTCGACCTCGACCACGTACGTACGCCGCAGACGTGGGCATGCATGTCATTTTGCCGTTCCACCCAGCTGTTTTTCTAGACGACAGTCTTGTCAGCACACGCGTTTTTCTTCCTTTCACAGATGCTTACCCTTGTGGCGGGTGAGCAGGTGGAGGTAGTCTCTCGTTTCGCGCCCATCTTGTTGCTTTCGGCCGCGTTAGAGGTGAACGTCCCCACGCACGAGAACGTCCGGAGGTCCCACAGCTTGCAAAATCCATCCATGTCGGCGGTTATTAACTGCATGATGGTGCCGTTCAAGCAGTGGGAGAGCGAGTGCAAAAATCAACGAGAGGGAAAAGTACCCCCATACAAGAGAAGATATGACGGCATTTATACATTCCTCGGAGGGTCGCCGGAGGGAATGGCGCTATGACTATGAACGAAAAAATGCTGGGTCAATCGACGAGTGACCTCCAAGGTTTCTCCGTTTCTAATTTTCTGGTCCCAACGTACGGATGGTGGTACTACGGGCCAACGGTGACACACACACGCACGGCACATCATGGACGAGACTTTCTTTTCGATTTACCAAATAAATGGGATCAGTGATGTTTCACGACAGAGCAGGTAAACCCTGACTTTGTACGGATAGCCGCATGACGTCGGTGGTTCTTCTTTGACTGTGCATCGTCGTCGAAACCGCGGAGTAGCGCTGTTCGTACCATACAACCGAAGAAACTGAAACGTTCGATGCCCTCCGCAGTGGCCTGAAGTTTCCCATGATCGTGTTCTGCATTGACAACGGAACACCGACGACCAACACGCTGTGCAGTATCGCACCGTTTCCTAACGGGTGCTTGTTTTGCCAGTATAATCGGGTCTAAAAAAGGATTTCAAACTCGGCACGAAAATGCGTGCAGGCGTCTGCCCGATAACATGTTGAGATCTGCATACAGCCATTCATTGTCTTTCTCCCTACCGTGAATACGCGAGAACACAGGGTAGGAAAGAAAAGGCCGCTTTATTCCCATTGCTGAATTTACGAAAGTTTGGGTGACTCAGCCAGGCTTCGGGTCAGTGGTTGAGAGTATGGGACGGACCACGGGCCGGAGCTGGAGGCCTCATCCAAAATTCAATACTTACATTGAATGATCCTAGGCCACGAGCAACAACACAACAGACCAATCCAGAAGCAGAAGACTCGCGTCATAGATTATGTCTTTATAACTTGAGTCATCCCACTCGCCTGAGAGGTACCCGTGATGTGCTCTACCCCTACGATGGCAGAGCAGTGCCCTCGGAGGCGGCTGATGGGGCTGGGCACGTAGGGATTGTTGACGACCAGGTCGAACGAAAACCCTCCGGAGACGATCAGGCGCTGATCCGGGCAGTACGCCATATGTTTCACGCCCTGTAGCATAGGATAATCGCATCAGGCACGACGTCTTCTCGATGTCGAATTGGTGGACCGGTTCAGTTGGATTGGGCGGGAGTTATGTGCAGTTTGATTCATTCTTGTGTCTTGGGGTCGAGTGTGGTGGATTCACGGCGCTTGAAGAAAGTGGCTTGCCAGCCTGAGTCGAGAGAATCCACAGACAGCGAGGCGACTATCCCACGGAGCACAACAAAAATAGGCTGGGAAATTTGCACGGTATTCTGAGCGCTAACCTTGAGATGCCCACGCAACGTTTTCAGGAGACCGAGCGTGGTGAGATCCCACAGCTTGACGGTGTGATCCATGCTGCACGAGGCGACCATGTCGGTATCTGCTGCCAACGTTGCCGTGTTATGGCACGTACAGCAGTAGTGGGAGCTTTCGAAGTTGGGTGAAGTGGTGACGTTGCCCTTGGCGCATTTCATGAACATTCCACGGGTCTTGCGGCATCACTCCGAGCCTTTGGTGTCTTTCAACGGGCGCACGGTTTGGCGTTGGCGAGAACTAGAGAAGGTCGCCCTCGTTTATCGACCACCAGGGCTGCATTACCGTTGTGTTCATTATTTGGGCGTCACCAGTCGTCGTTTAAAGTAGCAAGTAGCTCAGAAGCCCGTACGGCAAAGAGATTTGTCGCGTTATCACCTGATAGTGTGAGGAGGCCCAACACCGCTTCTGAGTGTCCACCGTCCATGCGCAACGGCTGATCTTGCTCAAGATCACATAGTGGCCTGTGTTCGGGGCATTGATACACGAGATCAGGATGCTTGAACACGCGCGAGGAAGAACTCAGAGAAGCTTAAGCTGTACATGTACAACACCTTGAGAGCTACCCTTTATTTTCCCTTCCTCAGCAAAGTCTGACCCCCAGTTGAACCGAGGATGCCGAAAATTATGCGTTGAGTTTCTCGCTACGTAGTTGAATTGCGTATTCAGAGCAATTTCTCCAAGAGTCACGACAACTATTTCTTCGTGTGAGCACATCTATCGACACCCCTCAAACAGTTTACGATTGGCACATAACTCTTGGTTTTGAGTGGGCCCCCCAAGGCATGGTGAGGAGGAACATCGCCGTCGTCGGTGTGAGTGGCGCTGACTTCACCGATATTCCACGAAAAGACGTTCCCTGTCATGTCGCCGGCCACCACCAGGTCGTGGCTCTCGGAGTACGTCATGCAGATCTTCCAACCAATCATCGCGGCGGACAAGAACAAGGCAGGCGGAAAGGCAGGGCCGGGTGTAATGATATAATTCTTCGACGAGGTGCTTGAACAACAAGTGTGCTCTCCCATTCTAACCTTCTCTAAGATATGTCGGGGGAAGATTGACCGCCGAAGGGGGGGGCAAAAGCGCACAGAATGTCCGCTCATCCTCACGGGCTCGGCCAGGATGGACTGGTGGGTGGGTGATACAGGTGAGCGTGAGGACAGCACAGAAGTAACCGAGTCTGCTGAGTCTAGGGGGGGTTGAAGGCGGGCCACAGCAAACCCAACGACAGCCCAACAAACGCACGTGGCTTCACGTTTGTACGAGACACGATGCACTCTTTCTACCTCCGCTTGCTCTGCGCTTGCAAAACGAGACAAGCAGAAACGCGCACGCACTGCCGAATTCCCTGGAATCGGCGAGAAATGTGGTGGTCTGGCTGAAGTTCTTTCAGCGTCCTTGGGGGAAACGCGTTGAACCCGGTGTTTGTCCAATCATATTTAAACACAAAGTCCTTATGAGTCGGATGCGCAATACTTCGGGGACAACCAGCTCTAGGCTTCTTTTTTGCATTGACGTACCGGTGTGTTCGGAGCTTTGAAGGTTTTCCATAAGTTTCCACTGCTTTCCTCGTAGAAACACACCCTCGACGTAGACATGCCCAGCACATAGTGCCCGCTAGAATTGCAGTAGCACAGAGACCGAGCCACACCCAAGTTGTCCTGGAAGCAAGATATTTAACCCCAAAGATAAAAGATACGGTGGTGAGAGCGTGTACGCATTTGTTGCTTGCCTTCGACTGCTGACTTCTGCCCGCTTATTATCCCTACCACGGTGAAGCATCGTTCCCACAGCTAGAGACGTCGGCATAGCTCGGACACTCCAGGTGGATTGCACAACTATCTGGGATAGGTCGTGGGTGCAAGTTTCGGTTGGACATAGAGCCCGCTTTGAACGAGTTAACCCCAACCCTGACCCTTATTCTATTCATCCATCGTCCGTTCGGTTCCCGCTACTGCTGCTCTTCAAAAGAGGACGAACGACCACAAAGATGCTCGTACATACTACGAGCGTCTTAACCAGCAGGAGGAGGGAATTCAGAAACGTGCTACATATGCCGCTCAACAGCAGTGATGACAGCAGGAGCATTCGTACCTCATAAAGAAGGTTGCTTTCGCGATACAACTACACGAAAAGAAGGACGTTGTGACAAGTTATGAGCCGGATACAAGCGCCGGTCGGGCTTGCAAATAAGGGACTGCCAGCAGTACATGATTTTTCTGACCGCGAGTGTCGGTGAGGCTTCGTTGACGATTGATGCACCGCCATCAATGGCATAGCCACGACCCCTTGTGTGCATGTCAGCCAACCCCCCCCACGTGCTGTATGCGTTTCAACCGTAGCACTTATAATCACATTTGCTCTACGCTTGGGTGCTCCGATTTTTCCTTGCTTGAAATCTCTTTCGTCTGCAATGCAAAGTTTTTCAAGTCTCAAGTTTCAGATGCCAGAAGCGCCCGAGAAAACACTCCTTAGGAGATCCATGATTCGTGCCACACAGACGAGGCTATCCATGGGTGCATTTATGTAAGGTCCCCCTCCCTCGCAATACTGGAGTATACCAGTCATCACAGATCAGACTATTAGACGGGGCGCGCTAAGGACTGAAACACAAAACGAAGGCTAACTTGGGGTCCGAAGTGTTTCCTCTGTGCTGCATATCGACCGTTGATCATGCTTGTTGCATGAAGCTCCTGATCGCTCACCTGAATTTCGTACTGCCGTTTGATGTGCATGGAGTCGGCATGGTACATCCGGAAAAAGTTGGCGCTTTCGTCAATGACCGCGACGGTGTCGTTTGCCGGAAAGTACTGAAGCTGCGACGGGTGTGGACGGCACAAGCAATAGCAGCAGTTTGGACTGTCAAGCAATCGCAGGGAAAATTTCTTGAGTAAAACCTTCGATATCACTCAGAAACCGCGCTTTTTTCAAGACCGGTAGCTTTGGGGGGACGTGATCAAAGGACGTGGAGATCGTAAGATTTCACTCATGAAGACAAAACACGCACATACTTCTTTCCAGCGAACCTCCCTAGGGGTCAGGGCAAACAACCTCCCAGCATAGAGCGTATGCTACTTCACTTCACGAACCGATTTGTTCCCACTCAGAAACAGATGGATGTAAACAGGAGCTGGCCGGTCACCGTCCCTCCGGTCCCCCACTAAAATGAGAGTCTCGGTACACACGGACCGACCTGGTCTGCGGCTTGGGTATGCCTTGCGGGGTCGATCTGCCCCGTGTGAACATAGTTTGGCGTTTCCCCCCCGATCTTGGCCCAGCCCCTCATGCCCATGTCTATCATGAACGACGATAGCTCATCCCAGTCGATCATTCCGTCGTTGTTGATGTCCACCTGAATGCACCAGGTATGTGTCAAGAGTTTTACCGGCACAGGGCGAAGGCGATGTCTTTCGTGATTATCCCAAGATTATCCCCAAGTACAGTAAACAAAGAGGGTACCGTACCGCAGAGTATACAGCCGGAGTCGTCGTTCTATGTGCGACCAGCCCCACAAAGTCAACAGGTGCCTGGCACGTTTACAAGCCTCACCTGCTCGAAGACATCGCAGAGGTTGGCCACTATCGTGACGTCAACATCACTGATACAATCCACCGGTTTTGATATATTCCCCGCGATACACCTGTTGCAACAGCCACCGAGAACATGAGTTCAGGGCAGGAGTGATTGGCAGGACTCCAAGAGGACCACGGCATACGACCGAAATACGTCTCGTACGAAACTAGGTGTTTTCGTCCAAGGGGACACCGCGGAGGAAGTGCTGATGATCTACCACAGACCGATTCCGCTGGCGGCCCCACCTCGATAGCGACCTTCTCCAACTAGCCAAAGCAGTTTATGTGTTTCTCTGTGGTTGTGTTTTCATCCTTTTTGAGGTATTTGGTTCTTGCCAGATTTCGCACAGACTTTTGGTCTCGAGAGGGGACCAGCAACCAATCTCTAGAAGCGGTTTGCAGCTTGGATTATCTTCCTAGATATGCTTATTATGTTGCGGGGCGGAACGTGTGTCACTTACTGCAGAGGAAGTCGGACAACGAGACGAACCCAAACGTCCACTTTCTCATTTGTCTAACGCCCTTATCTCTTATCTGTGGCATCGAATATATGTTGTATATTTGTTGCACAGATTCTTGGCTTTGGTTTCGCAAGATCTGTACAATATCTCGGTTTGCAACGGCTCCGGAAGAAAGGACCCAGTCCATTTGCACCAATACAGGCAGGACTGGCCCTTTTCGAGCGTCGTCGTTCTAGTCGAGAACGCTGAGGTTCGACCTTCTAGACGTTTCAGTACTCAAGGAAGGAACGGCAGAAACTCATAGCTCTTTCGTCTGATGGGACGTCCACGGTGAACCTGATACACAAACGATGGATCTCAAGCACGAGTTGGAACATCCGAGAGCTTGGCACGAACATTACCTTGCGAAACGAGAGTGTACGCAGAATGTACAATCGTAGTAAATTTTCTCACGTTGCCATGGTCGTGATGAACTCAGTTCGATCGAGCCCCTGCGCCTTCTTCGTGATCTCCTTGCGCAGAAAGGAAATCCGCGGAAAATCCAAGGTCGTCATTATCTCGGCCATCAGGCTTCGCGAGTCCGTCAACCGCGGAGCGTAGCCGCCCCGCTCCGCTTTTACCGTAGCCTTCGCCACGCCCACTTTTGTTGCCGCCTCCCCGTCCGCGATCCTTCAACATTGCCCATGGAATCCATGTAATGCGTGTCGCATCATGACTTATCGTTCGTGCTTTTGCATGCGCAGACGATTGCTCAAGGCACCCAGTGATGACGAAACATGAAAGGTGAGATCTATGTACATACAGTAGTCACGCAAGCGTAAATTCTTCAAGCCTAAAATCCGTACTTAGAATTATGTAGTGTAGTGTATCCATTTTTCATGTTTTTTTGTTTGCGTCAAAATTCTACGCTGCGCAATGTACGTTGGTCTGGCATCAAGAATACGCGGGGAAAACCATAGCTATGTGCTTGTTTTTTTTGTGGCTCACACGAGCCTGTTGTCACCTCTATCTTGCTGCGCACCTGAAGTCAAGACAAGATGGTCATGGTAGCTCTCGTGTGTAGTCTATGCCGCCAAATTCATGGTACCATGTAGCACACACCGGATTCTTATTTCGTCTCTTACTGGTACTTCCACACCATAGTACACAATAGCAACTCACTCAGTCAGGAACGTCGCTTCTCGGTCCAGCAGTGGTCTGTCGGCTCGTTCGCCGCTCGATTCTTTGGCTACCCCTAACCAAGGTGGTGGGCAGTCCTCCGCTGCTCCTGCATCCTCCATTCCTACTGCTGGACGGACCACGCCTTTAGCTGATTCTACTATCGTAGCAGGGGGGTTGTTGTCTGACGTTCCTCGGGGAGTGACAGCAGCAGAGCTTATCATGCTTGTCTACTTTTTGAACGCGTGCGCGGCGTCAGGATTGAAGGAATCGCCGCATGTGCACGAACGAACGAACGTGTTTAGACACCAGTGTTGAATTGAGCGGTGGCCCTACAGGTCGTCAGTCTAGTATTCAACACGGCGGGTGCAGGCAGCGTATGATGTGATACCGGGCACTGATGTCGTGTCGGCCAGGTGTCGGCGGGGGTTTCGCAGCCGACGCGTGACTCTGTGACAAGTTTGACTTGGGCACCTCGTACGGGTACTGGAGACGGCAACCAGATCGGAATGCGGAAGCGGCAGAAGAGAAAGAGAAAACGTCACCCCGCGAACAAAAGTCCATAATAATCCGGCAAGTGTTGCATTCCTCGCTGCAACGACTTCAATACACAATACCTGAAGTACTACCTCGAAAGGGTAACGGGAAATCGTCCTCCTCTGTTGCGTGAAAAGGCATCGAGCATACGAGTCAAGAATTACATTTGAGCTAAACATGTTCCCGGGAACCCGCTTAAAAATCTGCGCATGTAAGCCTGGAACCGAACATACCACTCGCGGTTCTCCCTGTCTCTTCTCGTCCTCGGCGCGCGCCGAACACACACGACGTTGCACGACAGACACGTGAAACGGCACTACACTGTATAATCCCTTTTTCGAACCCGATGGAACTCCGTCCGTAGACGACCCCCCCCACCCCCCGGACCCCTCCTCGTCCGCCCTGTTGTTGACGTTGTCACTGCCTCCAACACACTCAGCGCACAAGCAGTGCGTGGATCACCTCCCACATTCGAACGATGATTGCCTTGTGGAGAATAGTCTTCTGGCTGGGGCTCGTAGCGACATCAGCTGGTGAGAGTAATTGGGCGGTGATCATCGCTGGAAGCAGAGGCTTCATCAACTACCGCCATCAAGTGAGCAGGAAATGTTAATGTTTTTGGGAAAGATGGGCACGCATGAACACCTGGTTATGTTGCAGTACAGCGAGATTCGTGTCTTTGATAAAACCACAACCAATAGAAGTGTTCCACTCCGCTTTGTGGAGATATGCTGAAGCTGCTCTGGTTTGGGTTTGCGGTTTTCCGTGCTGCCTGTACGCGGACACGACATCCTACCGGATATATCGGAATATTGGAGGGGGCTCCGCGGATAGAGAAATACGGCTCTCTTTCTGACCTTTTTAATTAAGGAATAATAAAAACACACACAGAAAGACTACCCATTTTGTTTTCGCATGCGTGTGATCGACTCTCAACAATGATCATTTCACCATTCCATATGCATACGCATTTGAATTGTGGAGTGCCGCTCCTTGTTGAGTTATCTTAACCCCCTTACCACGCACAGAAAAATCGGCGGTCTTGCGAAATTTCTGAAATGTAAGAAAAAGAGCGAACGACGCCTGCTGATTGGATGGTGCAGACAGTTCCATCCCTGGGTGCAAGTGCAAAGCTGCCTTCCCACTTGAGCCGTCTCTTGTCTATAATCCCTATCAATTGTCCCCTCGATACGAGGGGACACGAGGGGACAATTGATAGGGATTATAGACAGCAACTGGCGGAAGCGTGGTAAACGGGGCACGAAAAGGAGGTTTTCAAGATATTTCTCTAGAGGGAAAGCGAGACCTTCTAACTCAAGCCCTAGGTTGCTTGGTGCCTCCTATCAACGGTGGTCTAGGTACTTCTTCCGCGCTTGCCCCTGGTAGTGCTTTCCACCCAAGGGTAAACAGACGCGGCGCAACTTCGCTGTTGAACCGGCAGCGTAATCGCCCCGCGATTCGACCTGTTCATTATACCCTCATACTCCTCCACTCTACAAAGCATCCATACTAGACTAGAGTCGTCCCTGTGTACCCTGGCACCCCCCTGGTCGAGTAGTGCAAAGGAGGAGACAATCATGACAATCTTCGCGAGGTCAAGCAGGCGAAGAAGATGGGGACAAAAAGTGTCCCCAAAAGGCGATCCAGCCCTAAAGGGGTTAAGGGCGCGGGGGGGATCGCAGTACTTCCTCTTAAAAAAAACAGGAAACGCCTGGAAACGCCTGCATATCTCGGTTTTCCAAAGTCTTAACTCCAGTACGAAACTACCATCGTAAATTAACCGTTCCGCAGCGGTCGCTTGTGTACAACGTTAGTAGCTGAGGTTGTACCCCTTGCGATACACTACAGACTAGCGGTCCGCGATTTTCCAAACGATCCTTCTATCATCGAGTTCGGTGAGCTACAAGCTAGATTTTTGAAGCTGCTGTGCGGTCCAATTTTGAAACGCTTCAAGCACACGGTGAACACGAATCACCGCCTATGTGAGTGTATGGGGCCGCGAACTTCAGCGCAGCTCTTCCCTCACATATCCAGCTGGTCGCCATTGTCGATTTGAATGCCTAGGGTCATGTATATGCATGTCCAGCCTTTAGGCAAAGGTGCTTGAAGCGTTTCAAAATTGGACCGCACAGCAGCTTCAAAAATCTAGCTTGTAGCTCACCGAACTCGATGATAGAAGGATCGTTTGGAAAATCGCGGACCGCTAGTCTGTAGTGTATCGCAAGGGGTACAACCTCAGCTACTAACATTGTACACAAACGACCGCTGCGGACGGTTAATTTACGATGGTAGTTTCGTACTGCAGTTAGACTTTGGAAAACCGAGATATGCAGGCGTTTCCTGGATTTTTCAGAGGAGGTACTGCGATCCCCCCCGCGCCCTTAAGATCTCAAGTGTTGTCCTATTCGCTTGCCGTAGAATTGGAGGAATTCGCAAGTCTTCTCGAAACTTCACATTTCTACATATGGTACAGTCTGCTGCTGCACTTGTAGGGTAGGTGGGACGCTCAAGCGTGTTCGCGGTTCGCTGATTCCATTGTGGTCTTGGAAGTTCCTGGTTTTGTTTTGAAAATAGCGTGCCAAGACTGGACTGCCTCTCTCTGCGTTTTTGGACTATTTTCAAGATGTCACACAACATGACATCACGTCTACAAGGAACGCTGTCATTTCTTGGCGCCAATGGTGGGGCGTGGTCCTGGTCTCTCTTGTTTTGTGTGTTTTCCCTTGTATTGGGCTAGCTCGTAATAATAACCACGGGAAGTTTGTTTCCTTTTCTTCGTAAATTGGCAAGAGTAGGTACTGGAAAGAGGTTCCAAGGGGTTGGAACGTCAGGACAACAGCACCACAAAAAAGCTGCCTGCTCTGGCTTGCAGGTCTGCACCTCTTTTTTTGTGTAAGTCTACGCCGAAAGGAACCCGCATCGCGTTGTGTTCACCCGTTTCCCGCCGAACAAATGCATCTGCCGCTTTTTGTGCTACAGGCGGATGTTTGCCACGCGTATCATGTCGTGCGTCGGAACGGCATCCCGGCGGAAAACGTAATTCTCATGACCTACGGCGACGCGGTGGACAGCGTCGACAACCCGTTCCCAGGGCAGCTGTTCAACAAGCCGACGCCGGATGGCGTTGCCGGATACGACGTGAACCGAGCGTGCAGCCCATCGTACACGGGGGAGGACGTGACCGCGGACAATTTCCTGGCGGTTCTCAAGGGAGACAACAAGACCACAGGTGCCCTTCCCTCCGTTGTCGGAGGTGTAGTCGTCGGTGGCATGTGTAGGTGCTGACTCCACTGCATGTGCTGACCATGGTTCTTTTCCGGCGTTCGCAAGTTCGTGTGGGTGGATTGGATTAGTGCCTGGGCCAACGAGGTCGCAACCGGCACGGGAGGCTGTCTTTAGCCCAGATGTGTACGGAGTTCAGCGCCAGCCTTGCGTCGGGAAGGCGTGCTATCCGTTTTGGCGGCGTTGTTGCAGACGCACGCGGTGAGTGGGCCGCCTGTCCAAAGGCTCTAGGAATGCTGGGATCTCTAGGTTCGTACACATGAGAGGGCGCAGAAGTCAATCGCTGAGGCTGCCTGCATCTTTTTTTAACCCGTTCGCAACCGTTCCCAACCACCCCTTTTTGACACCCGTTGGTCGAAAGAGGGGAAACCGGTTTTGCGGAGCACGAAAGAGGACCGAGTGTTCGTCTACTTCGCGGATCACGGCGGGGTGGGGCTGGTGGCCATGCCCGCTGGCGACCCGGTCTACGCCCAAGATCTCATCGATGCCCTGCGGCACATGTCCACGAACGGTATGTACAAGGAGCTGGTGTTCTACATGGAGGCGTGCGAGTCGGGTTCTATGTTCGAGGGCCTCCTTCCCGAGGACGCCAACATATACGCCACGACCGCGGCTAACTCTCAAGAGAGCTCCTACGGGACGTACTGCGGCATGGAGTCTTCTGTGAACGGGACGCTCATCGGGTCTTGCCTCGGCGACTTGTACTCGGTGAACTTCCTCGAGAACAGCGACGAGCCCTCCATGTTTCACACCGAGACGCTGGACTCCCAGTTCGCGTTGGTCAAGAACGAGACGTCCAAGAGCCACGCGCAGAAAGTGAGGCCATTCCGCCGGTCGAGGGAGGACGCGTGCGGCCGGAGTAATGCTATACATGCGAGCACGCTTTTGTCGTGAGACACACATCCGCAGGAACATCCCCACATGTCGAGGTGCCGTGTATTCTTACTTTCCCTGCTGTATTGAATCTGCGCTGGCGCGCTTGGACGATATCCCTCGACGCCGGTTGTCCCAGCTTGTCCTCTCTCGTCGCAACACCGACCGCCTGTTGTGTCCCCGCAGTTTGGGACCCTTAGCATGGGGACGGACCACATCGAGTGGTTCCTGGGTGCTGTTGGGTTTCCCTCTGTTGAAGGAGGCGAGTTCGGAGATCAAGCGGCGGCGGTTGCCCGCATACCAACACCGAAGAACGGAGTTAACTCGAGGGACATCAAGCTGCATGATCTTCGCTATCAGCGCTCCCAACTAGCAGGCACCGGCAGGTATGTGGACCACGAGAATGCTAGGTCGTGCTTCCGAGCTGCTTGTGCACGTACAGAAGTTGGCCTGCGCACGAGAGAGTACGGCAACGCTGAGAGTGCAATATAGAAGAAACGATTCGTAGATTCGCTTGTTGATCACCTGCTGAACTGCGACTTTTGAGTGAGTGCTCGAGAGTCGGTCAAATTTGAAACGTTTTTCCGACGTGAGCCTACATGTTTAACCGTGTACCCCGCGTGCGGAGGTGTGCGTGGCGTTTCGCCCCGGGAACGCCGCGGTCATGTTAAGTCCTCCTCTCTCCTCTCAAACGTGCGTCGTGCTTCCACTTACTATTTGTACACGCGAACGCGTGTGGAGTCGAGTTGGGGTCAAATTGTCGTTGCACGTGATCTGCCCTTTCGATCGTGTTTCGTTGATGGCGTGGAAAACATTAGAGCATGCTGGAGCTCTATGTATATGGCCGCAGTACATGAGTGTGTGCGTCGCATTACCAACATGGTTGACCCTTGCGCTGACACCAAACTTTGTCCTATGCCCGCATTCCTTCGTGTTTGCAAACTATGCCTGGGGTGTAGGACGCGTGAAGCCGACAACTTGGACCGACAGATCGCGGAGGAGATGGCCATGAGGTTTCACTCCGCAAAGGTTTTCGGGGAAATCTCAACGAGGACGTCCGGTAAGCGATGAGATTTTGCTTCGAAACGTGCATTCACTCATTCTTCGGGCAGTTTTTTTTTTAAGCGTGTGCCACGTAAGACATTCGAACTCCAATGAAACAGAGGATTTGCTCTACAACATTTGTAAGGCGAGCGTGGCGAGGCGAGACACTCTTTGAGAAAAACGCGCGTCGTGCCGTATCGATGTTTTGTGCCCTTTACCCTACCCCGTGTGCGTGCAGGTGGAGCCCCCGTACCGCCTCTCACCGGAGTTTTTACCGAGCACTCCTGCCTCAAGGCAGCTTCCACGGCCGTCATTGCTAGCTGTGGTCCCTGGAACGACTTCAGCCTTACGTACGTCCGTTCTCTGGCGACGCTATGCCAGGCGGGCTACCCCGCCTTGCAAATCCAGGCCGCTGCAGAGGCGGTCTGCCGGGTAGATGTGTAGAACTGCTCACACCACCAACAACGCTCCGGATTTCGAGTTGATTGTATTTGAATGTGGGGGTGACGGTGAAGCTCACAATGCTTCTTGTAAATAACACTGTAGACGTATTTCAGGGTTAGCGCTACAAGCACTCTTTTGGTGCGCGTTGACTGCTTGGAAGCCTGTAAAAAAAAAGAAAAGAAAAAAAATAGGTTCTCGCTAAGCCGTAGATGAGCATGCGCGTGAATCGTGGTTGGGTTTTGGTATGGTTTTGGTATCGACAAGGGCTGTAGTAGATATTTTAAGGGTTGTGGCGAAGTATCTGGTGTTGTTTTCGCCAACCGTTTGCAGACAGGCAAGCTTACCTAGTATTCGATGCAGTTCGTCGGTGCACATTTTTGTGACACTTGTTATTACGTGTTTGGGCAGTAAGCGCTCAGCAGCTTCTTGAGCATGTATGTGCAGAATGAAAGAATTCCGTTGACCATGCACACGTTCTTCGTTCGCAGCGCTACCCACGTGGCTCGGCAGCGCACCGGAAAGTTATGGTGTCGTGTTTTGTGAATGTGTTGGGGTAGGATCTACACCAAAGAGGGCGTGTTCGTTCTTTGTTGCATAGTTTTTGCCTCCGTAGGTCAGGCGGTACGAAGCTATATTCTTGAGTATATCTTTTGTGTGGACGAATTCAGCATCACCAATGATGGCAGAACAACACAGGGCGATAGGGATGCATGGGCATGCATGGCGTGCTGTTTTATTTCTGACGAGGCAAGCGATGGGCGTGAAAGCAGCATGTGACTCGGCGCGACGGTTTTGATCCACGTATTCTTGAGTCACCTCTGGGTCCGTTCACCAAGGTGTTAGTCGTTTGGCTTTTACCCTAATCGGCTTCACACGTCTCCAAGATTGGACATGGGATTGATACGTTTGGTCGCAATTCCTTCTTCGGAGCTTGCTTTGGGATGTGGGCACACGGAGTTCCATGTGTCAAATGTTACGTGGTTGATGTCTACTCGGGGTTACTTTCTAGCTTCCCAACGAAAATGATAACAGATGGTTGATTCAGATGGTTGATTCGTACTCACTGACAGTCTAATACTGCTCCGCTCTGCTGTTTGACCCTTAGACATTTTTATGGTCGAACACCCCCGGGCTCCCACGGGAGGGGCAGATGCGGTGCTCACAGCACGCACAGTGACCGTGCTCTCTCTCTCTCTCTCTCTCACTCAAATATTTTTCTCTCGAGCTCGCCGATCTCGAGAGAGAGCATGAGAGATACATCCTTGCGGTTGCGTCCGTGTAGCCCCTCATTCTCGATTCGAAGACACACACACGTCATCCTGTTATGTCACCCGCGACGTCTGACGGATCTATCTCGCCGAGGTCGACTGTTCGTGATGATTTTTTTCGGGGTTTGGGGTCGAAGTGCACATGTAGATTGTAGATAATAAACAGTCAGCTGTAGTTACAGTAGTTGGTCTGTAAGGCGTGCGCGTCTGTTGGAAGGTTACGGATGTCACACAAGGTACTGAGCAGAGACCGGAACGTGAAGACAACAAAGTAACATCATCCATCAGTGGGAGAAAATTTATCACGCAGGATATAACGACATATGCATGGGTGGATGTATGTATGTGTGTGTGCACCGCGTGGTCAATATCTGAATATCTCGTGCCCGCATCCCCCACATACCCGCACAGCTCTGAATTCCTACATCTGCGGATGCCCTCTTAGCTCTCAAGCCAGCAGACCAGACAGCAGCCGCGGCGGCTAGCACCAAAGCAACGGGTTCCGGGTATCTGTGAGAGAAGGGAAGCATGTCATCGAAGCCTGGAAAGAAAAAGAGCAAGGCTACTCGTTGGGGAAAGGCAGCGAAGGCGAAACCAGCAGCTGCTGCTGGCGGGCGAGGTGGCATTGTTGGCATGGAAACAGATGAAGCAAGGAAAATCAGGTTGGTATGCACGTTGCACACAAGTAGTTTACCCAATGCAATGTGCAATACTGATGTGTGTACATCAACTATTTGTGTATTGTTGGCTGATATCCTGTGCGTAGCAGTTACAGATAGTGGCGGTAACCGGGATTGAGTACAACTCACAGGTGCTTTATGGCAAACGCAGGATTTTCTTTTGGCATGCATAGAGCAGTAGCATATCGTAACTCCGCGGTCCAAAAGGCCGTTAATTAAGCAGTATCAGACTTTTACTTTTGGGACAAGTCTGGGCACAGCATCCATATGTAGCTCTGTTGTGGTCAATTTTCTTATGATATGTAGCACATTCGGTGAGGCGAAAGTTGATGTATTCAAGGTACACGTCGCGCGCCGCTGCTGCTGCTGCTGCTGCTGCTGCTGTCGGTCCAGATAGGGAAGGAATGCAACAGGCGGTCGCTGCCGTGAACATTTTTTTTTTTTAGTGGGGACTGTACACACAAGATACCACACCCCCTTGCGCCTATTTTCAACCCTCGCGATTACTCCATGACGAAGAGGGCGACAAATTCACATGATGTTTTTTGGGAAACTCTCGACATGATGGTTCGAACATCTCAACGCCGCCAGTTTTGGCACCGTCACGGCCGTTTTTGCTGCAGAGTAATCGAGCTTTCAAAACCGGTCTCGGGGGTGTGGTATCCTCCGTGGCCTACGGTACCGTAGTTGGTAGTACGACATGTGCGGGTGCGCGCCAGCTGCCTTGCCGTCTACTGCGTAAAGCCTCAGAGTTGTAGAAGAGCATCGCGTACTCACGGACAACAGCGGAGGGGGGTGGGCTCAGTAGTGCCGGTTAGCCCGCTCTAAATTCGGTGAAAATCGCGTTGTTTCGTACCCTCAACAGCAGTGCCGGCAACAGGTGCCGAGTGCCCGCTACCATCCTCTAACTTGTTCAGTGAAGTCATTGCGCATCGTGTAAAAACTTGCATTCATCGCGCGTAAACTTGTACTTTTGTGGGCATTTGGCCTCTGACCAAGTGGAAGACGTCCGCGCCCGTTGGACCGGTGCGGATGTTAGAAGGTTCTGAGCAGAAACCGGAACAGTTTTGACTACTGTAAAGACGACGTTAGCAATAACAAACAATAGTCGCGTGTTTGCCGCCCCCTGTCTCTCAACCTCTGCTCCCTATTTCCGCGCATGTTCCTTGGACGGTGGTTGCTGCCACCAGAAACGCCGCAAGATTTGCGGAACACCTCGGTGGGGGATCGAATTCAAAGGTACATGTACACCCTCGTGTGTGACCACGGGTTGGGGTAAACGGCACAAGTGCTGTGAGCGCTGATTGGAAGTGAAAACAAGAAAAAAATATACCACCCTGAAGATGTATGTTTCGGAGTGCTACAACAACAACGACCAACAAAAACAATGACCGCCGGAAAAATGCTCCGACGGACTAGATTTACGGCAGCACGGGGCAGGGGGGGCGGGCTGAGGACTAGGGCAGGGGGGGGGGCTTTGTTTTCACCGTTTCTATCGTTCCAATGCGTGTCTCTCGTGAACGTAAACATGTGTACTGCTGTGTCCGTGTAAACTCACGGCAACAGCACGAGGGACAGTCAGCGTGCGGGGATGTGCGATGATGGCGTCCTCATGAATTGTTGCTTCTCATGCCATTCGGCCGTTGACTGCGCCCCTTTTGAAACGGACCACCGTTCCTCCTCTTAGTACCATAGGGTGCCATGTGTTTGTACGGTAGCGAACGTAGTTGTCCTGTCTTGTCCCTTCCAGTTTGGCGTTTTGTGGCCATCTACTCCTAGTGATATGGCGATCGTTTTCTCACTGCTACAACCTAGTTTTCCCCCAAGTTTAAGCACCGATCCATACCCCCCGTCTCCCTCTCGGGGGCGCCCCTTATCTCTGCAGATTAGTTCGCATCCCGCAACTTTTCGAGGTTCAGGCTCTTCGGCCTTAGGGCATGGATTTTTCTCTGGCATCCTGCCCCCTGCTATGTATCGGTGCAACACTCCCTTCCTTTATGGATAATCCGAGCCCCCTTCTCGAAACAGCAGCTTCGTTTTTTTCTTGCAGAGGCCATCCGGCTACAACAGAGACAAGGTTGCAGTGCTGTTATTTCCCGTACCTCCAAGTGTTTCTTTCTAATGCACCCTTCCCTCTCTCACCGTTAGCCTGTCCGTTTAACCTGCCTATCGTTTCCAAAGGTCTGCCTCGTACACCCCGAAAGGCCTGCGTCTCTCTGTGGCTACTTCCCGTCTCCGTCCATAATTTCCCGATTCACAGTGCCACAGAGCGAGGGGGGAAGTGGGGGCGCAGCAACTCGTGACTGTGCTGTAGGTTTTTGATATGCTCCGACCATTTCCCCTCTACGTCGTATGGGTCATTCGTGCCGCCCACTACAGCAGCAAGGCAGCGGCAAGAAGCGATCGCGATGGGCCATGGGCAACGGCAGCGGTAGCAACAGCACGGACCCGGTGCGGGGCTCGTCGAGCTCGCTCGAGAAGAGCTACTTCCGTCTCACGTCCGCACCCAAGCCTTCGGACGTGCGCCCTCCAGAAATCTTGACGGTGAGCTCATCTGGCGGAAGGTTTTTCTGTCTGCGTCAGTACTATTTAGGTCGCGTTGGTGGGATCTGGTGATGGCTAACCGTGTCGGGTGTTGTTGCTAGGTTTGGGCATCGCAATGTGTGCGTCAATATGATCATCTTGCTGCTGCTAGTGTTTTTTTTCCGCTTGGTTGTTTCTACTTTGTCCCTGGCTGAATCCCGGCGGTACCCCCCCCCCTCATTCAAAAGAGGTCTCCCCCGTTTCATCGCCTTATACGGGGCTCATCACATCGGCGTTGTTTACCGTCAGTGCCGCTGGATGTTTTAAAGTGTTGTTCGTCTTGCGCTCTTCTTCGTCAGAGATCGCTTCGGCACGTGAAGCGGAAGTGGGCCACTGAGGAAGACTACGAGTTCGTGTGTGACCAGCTCAAGGCTATCCGGCAAGATCTCACCGTGCAGGCCATCGAGGACGGGTGAGTGCCGCGGCTAGAAAGAAGCGTCTTCCCGCGTTTACCTGCGAAGGCACGAATTTTTGCTCCTGCCAGATGAGGTGCCGGCTCATTGGTCTATTGCTACAAGGCACGGCTGGATTCTCGCGACCAGGCCGTCGAGAATGACGAAGGGCCGCCGTAAAAACTGCCTTTGCTTGAAGGTATCTTTGTTTGTTTTTATAGTGCCTGTTTTGACCGTGTTATCTCTCGACTGCTTTCTTTCGTAGAAGCGCTCCAGATGCGCCGGGCAATTGTATACTTGGCCGTGGAGCATAGGTTTTCCTTGCAAGAAGAAGTTCGATTCGTGGTGAAGGCGAAGAGGATAACGGTTGCACCTTGTCGAGTCCCCTCAACCCACGCTGGCTGCCACTGCTGTACATACCACCACTAAACTCTCGCGGTCTGCAGCCTGACGGTGGACGTGTACCAGACGCACGGGAGGATAGCGCTGGAGTCGGGGGACATGGAGGAGTACAACCAGTGCCAGTCGCGCCTGAAGGAGCTCCACCTCTCCGGCGTGCCCGGCGTGAGCATGGACGAGTTCACCGGCTACCGCCTCATCTATTCGCTTTACCGCGAGAATCATCGGTGAGAGGGGAGAGGGGGAAGGGCTTCACACGGCAGCGGTGTACGTTACTCTTCGGGTTTACCGTATGTTGCCTGCACGCTGTTGCTGCAGGCTGCTGTTCACGCGGTGACCGATTTCTCCGAACGCCACCAGCTGCACTGAGACAATGTTTGCTTGTTTTTTGTACCTCAATACGTTTAGTGCATCTACGCGAGCCCGCTAATAGCACCCGGGGAGCGACGAACGTTCCTTCAAAAGCCCTTCCGATTGGCCCTCTTCCCGCGTTGTACTCAAGACATGCATGTATGTCCTTTTGCTGCTGTGCAGTTGCCAGTTAGAAGGACTTTCGTAGATCGAGGAACACGCACTCATTTTCCCTTCTCCCTGCCCCCACCTCTTATTTTTGTGAGAGCCTGGTCCGGTGCGAACCCGGCGTGCTCCGTCTCGGCTTTGTAGGGATGCGAGGTCAACGGTCTAACGACTACGGCATGCACGACTATGAGTACACTCCCCCCTGCCCCCGCCTCTTATTTTTTCGGCACGCAGGGAGGTGAACGCGACGATGATGGACCTATCGCAGGAGGCGAGGCAAGGGGAAGGGGTGGCGCACGCGCTGGGGGTCGTGAAGTCCTACCACATGGGGGACTACTGCACCTTCTTCCGCCTGTACTTCGCCGCCCCGGCGATGAGCTCGTGAGTTTTGCGTGCCGCGTGCTACACTTTCTTGCTTTTTGATGCGCCGAAATCACGGGAATCACTTCCAGCTTTATTAAAACATTTTGTAGCCGTTTTTTTTCGCGCGCTTGGCACTTGGTGCTAGAATTTGGAGCACGTGGTGACTTTCGCTGGCCCCTTCCTTCATCATGCCCGAACACCTCGGGAAGAAAGCCGTAGGAATGGTGTACGCAAACTAAGGAGCGTTCCGAGGGGAATCTCCCCAAGCTGGTGGAACAACTTGTTGCTGCATCATAGAATTGGAGGGCATGCGTCCACGATGGACGCGCTCCACTCCAAATTCTCAACCTATTATAGTCTGTGTGAGAACACTGAGCCATTCTTGCCTCGCGACTTTTCACAAGAGGAACTGCCCCTCTGCCCGTGGTCGGTTGAACCACCACGTCAAGGAATCTCCATCCTCAGAGCAGAAAGCTCCACATTTTATTGCTGTCCATGTGGGGTTTTGCGTCACGCATGCTCCGAACATAATATGTATGTGGAACTTGAATCTTCTTGCCCCCCTGGTGTTAGTGAAGCCCCACTGGCATAAGAGCAGGGGGGTACGCCGGATCATTGACGTATTTGGTGTTGCCCCTAGGGCTCTAACCACGGGCGATCGGCCACGTGGGTCTGTGCAGCAAAAGCAGTGTGTGCGTGTCGTGCATGGCGATGATGCGCGTCAGACGCTTCCATCCTCTCGTTGTTTCCGATTGGTCCCTAACAAGTTCCAGGTATGTGGCAACTGTGGGCTTAAAAGTGATTTCGTCTGTCTCTGCAGTCAGCTCCGTTTGTGAAGATACGCCCTCTCGCATGTTTTGTTGGCCCCTAGAATTGGTGCGATTTGGTATTTACTCCCCCCCTCGTGCGCCCGCGTATACTTTCGACATCCATATGAATGTTCATGTTTGCTCATGTGGTCGTCGCTTCTTGGCGCATGAATCGAATCAAACCGTTATCTCTGAAGTGGGCAGTATTTCGAGCAAGGTAGGGGGTTTTTTTTTTTTTGCCCCCCCCCCCCTCCCCCCCCCCCTCTCTTTTCGTTTCCCTTTACGCCCTACAAGATGCCTGTAATAACCGTCAACGCTGGCGTCCGCGCCGCGACCGATTGATTGCTCTGTGCAGGTATTTGATGGACTTTCTTGTGATGAGGATGCGCCGGCGAGCGATCAAAACGATGGTCAAGGCCTACCTGCCAACTATTCCTCTGTCCTTCATTCAGGTGAACAATGGCTGCCTCGACCGCAAAATGTTGCTTCATGTTGTAAGACAAGTTCTTGTAGCGTACTTTTTTTTTTTTGTCTACACTTCAAATCAGCGCTCACAGCACTTGTTCACTACCGGTTGGAAACGGTTGTGTGAGAAGCACACCACCTCCAACAATCGTAGCATGTTACTAGCTCCTTGGATCTACCCGTGTCCCATGCAAGATGTGGACGTATTGGGACAGGCGACCCGTCGATTTCAAAGATGTGCGGTGGTTCCTCGATCTGCATTAGCGAGGAAAGATTGGAATCGTTCCGGACTTACCACACTGCTTCGTGCGCTTGGTTACCGACGGTAGGAGTCATGCTTTACATGTATGCTTCAAGTATGCGACAGTCAGGCATGCGGTTTTCGACTGCGTGAGAGTGATGACGGTGAAGGTATGAACTCTAGATATTGGCCCTCTCCGCGCCAAGTCATGGTAGGCCTGTTGACATGGGACAGAAGAGGTCGCCCATTCTAGCTACGTGGGGATTGCAGTAGCGATGCTGGTGCTCCCTGTTCGGAGTGAAAGGATGGTGTCGTTTCGGGAGAGTTGCGCCAACAACATTTGCTGTGTTAGTGTTATCGTTGTTCATGATGTTGTTTTTGCGTTTTTGCGACGCGCTCTCTGGAAGAACTCGTGTTTTGACAGTCGACTTCCGTACGCGATCAACATGTTCATGGCGAATTGCCGGTTGTCTTTCGGTTCGCAATGTCTCCTCGGAGCATTTTCTGCTTCTTGGTGGTTTCCCGACGCCGCTCGCTGTTCCTGATCGTCCTTTGGCAAAGTTGCGATACCACATAAAATAGTATTTCGTATGTTATACTCGCAAAATCTTTAGGGTGTCGAAGCCGCGCCGTTCGGGATCCGAATCTGACTCCCATTCCTCTTTTGCCGCTCTTTTGCCGCTCTTTTGTGTTTTTCAGGAACAGCTCAGGTTCGACAGTCGGGACTCGTTGCTGGAGTTCATCGACAAGGACGTCGAGGCGGCTCTTGCCGCACCGAAGGCTGGCGAAGAGGCGGCGATAGACGTGAAGGCCACTCGAGCCGCATGGGCCAGGTTGTAGGACAGGTTGCCAAGAGTCGAGGGCATGGTACGGCGTGCGATTGATTTCACATCTGCAGTCAGTCGTTGTCGTTCCCAGTCGAAGTCGCGCACCTTCTACATGGAGCCGAATGGGCGCGGAATGACAGGATGATTCAAGTACACTAAATGTTGTAATTGTCGTTGGTGAGGTTTTCGAGTCACAGACACCGGGTCTGTCCCACGAAGGGAAAAGGGTGCCAAACTTGAGCGATGTTTGTTTTTGGAAAATGTTTGATGGTGCTCTCCGCTCCCGGTGATGGCCGTGAGCGCATCTCCCCCGTGAGAGCTACCGTGCAATGAAGCGGTGCAGACCTCGTTATGTCCGGAGAAGCTTACATTTTCCAGTACTGCTGTACGTGCGGATACGGTGTATGTATAGGCGACACAGCAGTGCGAGAGCCTGGGGTTGAAGATATACATAGAGCGTACCCGATGCAACCTATAATGCATGTCAGCAAGTCCAACCACCGCATCGATTGAAGAAACACACAAGTGTGCAATGGTCGCCTTGCAACATGTGGTGGCAGGGGTAGGAATGGCGATGCTGAAGCTATGCTCTATCTTCCCCCACTCCGGACTCATGACTTGGTATTTTCGCTCAAATCCCAGCGAAGTTGTGTCCAGAGCGCCGATGGCGCTTCATTTCGCTTTCTCTGGAACGCTGCGAGGCAACAATTCGATGGAGGCATATATGTGGGCAGTTCTCTCATGCAACCGGCGGTGGGGATACGACAAACGGCGCGTCTCGGGTTTGTTCTCGTGTCATGCGACGCTGCGCTTTCTTGCTGTTCGTTGACGTCGAAAAAACATCGCGTTTGCTTGCTATTTTTCTCGATGTGTCTACTTGTTGTTGGTGGACGATGAGGCGGAGGCATAGTCTACTACTGCTGTATTTTTCTCGAGACCGAGGACCGAATGGACCAATCATTACATTGGACCGCAGAGATACCAACAGCAGTCTATTTTAGTGAGCACTGCTGCTGCTGCTGCTACATACATACGAAGACGAACGTGCCGATACCGACGCCGTACATGACAATCTGCAGCCCACAACGATCTACCTCTACAGAGCACAGCAGCAGCAGCAGCAGCTGCTGCAGCAGAGTGTGCACTATCGGGACCGTAAAGTGCACTAAGTACAACGTGATATGCACACGTGCATACATCGATACACCCGGGACCCGAGAGCGATCAGAATGAAATTTCATGGGACCGAACCAAGGAAGGTTAAGGTTCCTGTGATTGGGCAACGATTTTTTTTTTATAATGACGTGTGAGAGACAAAGTAACAGCCGGTGAGAGAGAGCGACACTGACAGCCCAGTAGCCACAGGCAGGGGGGGGGGAGAGCGGGAGAAGGGAGTGCTTCGGAGAAACATGATAGGTGTACTGGATAAGTTTTGGAAGGCCAAGAAACGAACGCCGAAGGTGAGCAGAGGGGGCGGTTTTGCGATGTGGATGCACAGCAGTCTGGTAGACGAAGATGCAGCAGCAGCGGTACTTTGACGAGCGGCCGGCGAGGAACCCGGAGAGTTTCGAAACAAACACAGCGACTGCAACACCGAAGAACTTCCGTTCGAAATCTCTGTCTAACGAGTTGAACGAGCCGCAGTGTGTACGGCATCCAGCAGTGCAGCCGATGTGTAGACTACAGCAGCAGTAGACTGGACTGCTGTACGTGTATCTGGTGTTGAGTACTGTCTGTGCAGTAAACGGAGCAGTCAGTCAGAGAATCTCTCTCAGGACCAATCCCGCGGCAGTATCAGCAGAAGTTGTGCGTATTGTAGTCGTCAATATTATAATGGTAGTGGAGGATCGGTCTCCACGTTCAGCCTTTTGTGCATTCACCCTTCAACAACCTGTTCTGTTGCAACATCGGCGGGGAGCAACACCAACCCCCAAGGCAATACAGGAGGGGGGGAGGACCCACTCCACCCACAGCAGCACATACTGCTACGTTCCTACGGATACATCACCGAAAATATCAAGCAAGTCGCGGACACGCGCGGTCCCACTGCACGCGTGTTTGTTGTTCGGTGCGTGCCACTTGCCACTTTGTCGTGGTGCGGGGTCGCAGTCTTACAGCAAGAGGAGCGACTTTTGTCGAGGACCAGGCTTGCTTGTACTAAAGCAGTTACTAATACTATATTGAAAGAAAAATCAAGCAAACAAAACCTCTTGTATGTATGCATAGTTAGCAGCAGTATTTAGCCTACTATTATAGGTCGTGGGGATCGCAGTTTTCCTCTTCAAAATCTAGGAAACGCCTGCATATCTAAGTTTTCCAATTTATTAACTCCAGAAACTTCAATCGCAAATTAATCGTCCGCGCACCCCCCCTCGTAGACAATGTTAGTATCTGAGATTTAGCCCTTGCGATACACTGCTGTAGGCTAGCGGTCCGCGATTTTCCAAACGATCTTTCTGTTGTATCATCGAGATCGGTGAGCTACAAGCTGGATTGTTGAAGCTGCTGTGCTTAAGCAGACTCAAAGTATGCCCAGTTTCCAGCAGATTTCGCTCCACTTACTGAAAATACTTCGGCATACCCCTCGACTGTGGTTGTATCTCAAACAGGTGTCTTTTCAGTGATTTATGGAGATTTTCTTAGACGGCGAAGGTAACAGTACTACTGCTGTAACGCGTTCTTGTGTCGAACACGCCTTCGGCTTCGCGGCTTTTGTTGGCAGCGGGGCACATGCTGTTGTGTCCTCCCCGACGTAGCCCTGTCATCGTTGGGCGGTGTATCGTCCGCTGCGTGCTTCGTCGTTAGCCATCCGGCCGCGGTGCTGCTCGTTGGTCATCCGGCCGCGGTGGCCCACGCGTCGTGGCGTAGTCTTCGTGGCATACCTTTCGTCCATTTAGCCGTTCTCTCCGTCTCCTTCGCCCGCCCCCCCCACGGCGTTTTGCCCGCCAGACACTCAAGGTAGCTCGTTCTCTACAAACCAGTGTTTGTCCTATTGCCGTCCGGTGGATAGCCACGCGTCGTGTGCGTATTCTACACGATGCCACCACCTCGTTCAGCCGCTAAATAGCTCGGCCTCCCTGGCCTGACCCCCCACGGCTTTTTTGCCATTCAGCCGCTGCTGTAGCGTTTACCCGTTATCCGTACCCTTGGTTTTGTGTCGGTGCAACCGTTACGTTTTCTCGACGGCCCGCCTGGATACATACGCAGCATCGTTTCGACGCTTGCTCATACGCATTGTACCGGGGGGGTGGCGCCAGCCCTCACCCCCCCCTACACTAAGTGACAATCAGCAGATTTACGCCTTTCGGTGTCCGAATCTTGTCTTCCATGTGCCAGCTTGACAACCCCGCCCAAGTCGCTGGGAGTTTCCGTGGCGCACAGCTTGAAGGGCCCCTTGAATTTTTCAGGCACTCCTCCAAACTCAAAATTCTGCCCAACGATTGTGTACTGCTGTTGTATGGACGAATACATCCGTTCTTTTTGCTGTTGCGCGTACAATGGTAGTTTCAGAAAGCACGTGGAGAGCCGATAAGATCGGATGTCCGTCGCCACAACGCGAAGAAGAATAGGGTAATGTCCTCTTGATAGGTTGCCTTTTGTGCGCGGTGGTTGGTGCATTTTGGGACTCGGTGTCTCCATAATTCGTGCGTACCCTCTGACCTTTATGCATGCGTAGGATAACACGCCCTCTCTGGAATAGCGTAGCCCCCGTCCCAAAATCCCATTAAAAGGTGTTATGAGGTACTTCAAATAATGTGCTGGCTAGCGCGGTCGCCCCGGGGCTATTATTAGCGGGCATCGTAAATCTACCAGCAGCAGATGATTGAGTTCGAATCTCTCTCGGGAGGGGGCCATCTGCAATTTGCGGTGGGAAGCGATACGTATATGAGTACATGTATATTATTTGTGAAGGGACTACAATACTCAACCCTGTCTGGCGTTAATAAACCGAAGGCAAGCACCGCAGGAGAACGGCGGGAAACAAGCAAACGTCACAAATGTTACCTTCGTTCCTCCTGTGTGACCCCGGCTGATTTGTCAAGCAATACCCAAATGTGTAGAGGTCGGCGCCAAGACAAAATCAAGAGGACGAAAATACAAGACACACACGGCGGTGTTGTAGCCAAAGAGGTGTCGCGATATATGCATACATCCAGCAGCCGTACGCGCTTTCGCACGGGAACTTGGGAGTTGAGTAATTGAGGCTCAAAAAGAGGCTATTAATTTCTTAGCTCCCAGGTTCCTACATGAGAGTCCTACACTAAAACGTCTCACACAGCCGATGTCGGTTTTACCCCGCAGAGAACATAAGAAACGAGCCTAGGTGCAATAACTAAGAAATTCTTCAATAAGGCGTGGGGCGTGCTGTTAAGGAGTCACATGCGCGTACGTCACGTGTCGTACTACAATATGTTGTTGCTGAACACGACGGAATCTGTCGCGTACAGCAGTGCTTCGAGGGGGAATCGCTGCGCGGATCTTGTGCTCGCCGGGTGCAAGCACGCGCTCCGGTTACCGCGTGGTGAACAGCAGGTTGTCGTTGCAGGGCGTCAAAGATGGCTTCGCGTCATTGCACAAGTCTCGGGGACTTTGGGTCTACCGCTGCCATGCCATAGAGGCCTCGTGCGCACTCTCGACCACCATTTCAAGAAAGAGAAAGAAATCCAACCAACCCACGACGCGCTCATGGGGAGTTTTCCATAGTGATACGTACGTCGGCTTCGCACGGTGTTTGATCGATCCTGTCAAGCTGAGAATCCTGAAAACGTGGGGTCGCTGAGTCGCGTGTGATCGTGCTTTGCCCCCCGCCCGCACGGAATGCGCAGGATGTCCACCGATTGTGAAGGCACATTATTTAGCTTTTCTTTCAGCAGGCCGGAGGTTCGATGTAGACTAGAGTGCCCAATGTTTTTGTTGGTCTATCTTGCACTGGTTGACCTTTCCAAGACGACTTAGAAATCATGCCGAGTCACGCCACGAGATGGAGCTCAAGGCTACCACCGAGCTCTCGCGGAAGAAACAGCAGGCTCTGGGCACCTCGATTATGGTGCTTCTGCCTGTGCGGTAGCACGACCGTGCTCGGCGCGCAAACGGCCGGTCGTCTCTTGGACGTTCAGTTGTTTCTTGTTCACACGCAGTTTTGAGTCCTGGTTCGATTTTGATTGGGCTCGTGGGACGGGCGCGAGCTGTTATCGCTGTGCTCAGCCACGTTAGCGTCACAGTTTGTCGCCCTTTGCCGTGTTTTCGCTTGTCGCGTGTGCCTCCTCCTCCTCCTCCTCCTGCGCTGCCGGCAGGTCCCGTTTACGTTGGCTCCCGTCGACTATGGCGCGCTGACTGCGCTGTATCGTTTGACCCAAGGGGATGGATGGACACGTAGAGACGGCTGGTGCACCCCCGTTGAGCTCCAGGAATGGTTTGGGGTCGAAGTCAATGAACAAGGTCGCGTGGTGAAGCTAGACCTCCGCGGAAACAACCTTCAAGGTACGCTGTTTAACCTCGTGGATCGCTCATTTCCGCTGGACCTTCCCTCTAAAATGGCCCTTTTGGAGACTACGCACCTAGGTTGCCTCTTTATCGCGCTTTTGCTGTGTTTACACGCATCACAATCTCAAACTTCTTCTGGTTGGTTTGTCAAAACAGCGTTTTTCAGCACGGTTGCAACTCCTGCACAACGTGCGCACGATGCCGCTTCGTCAAAGCCACTCAACGTATGTATGCTTCGTGCAGGGATCGGAACCCTTCGCCGCCTACATTATCGGCCCGTTACTTGTACACTCGCGGTTCACGCTAGGTATGCGTTTCTCTTGGGATTTACAGTGCGGGCGGTGAGGCCCCCTTGTCCGTCTTATCTTGCGGGGCTTTTGATGGTTCTCCGTCTGTCACGTAGCCATGCTCTACCACGTACCTGCCCCGCGTGGGTCTATCAACACGGACGGTTGAGTTTCTTGCTGCCACCTGTGCCTGCGGTCACCCGATGTTCCTCTCTCAAGTGTCCATGCGGCCGAAGTTCAAGAGTGTGCCGCCAGCTTCACGAGTGCGCGCTGTGTTCGTTGGCAGGACTCCGGTTCTAGCTTATGCTTCCACACGCTAAGGCATAGATTCTCGACTCGGTGAGACCAGACCCCCCCACCACCTCGGCGATGGATGCTGTTCAAGAAAACCGCTGGCGGAATAGCAGGCAGGAGAGACACGCATGTCCAAGGCCGGAGGCTCAAACTGTTCTAATTATTGCCTCTCTGTGTCTGTACCCTTCGGCCACAGGTACTATCCCGGCAGGGCTAGGCACGCTCGATGCTTTGGAACATCTCGACCTCTCGAATAACAAACTGTCTGGTGAGTTCCGGAATCGCCACTTGCATATTCCAACAGTTGCAAACGAATAGAAAACTGTCAATGTCGTTGTTACTGAGTTCCGCCGCTTGTCCGGTGTACTTCCGTGGTGGCATTTCGAGAGTGTGTCAATGAATCCGCCACAGTGATCAAGGCGTGCTTCGTTCAAGCCGCAGGCACGGATTGTAGAGCATGTTGGCAGCGGGAAATGGGTCAAAGAGGTCGGAACCTGCGTGAAATGGTGACACCCACGCGCTGCTCTATGTTCCTTCATCCAGCTCGGGGTTTGGGACCCGAGTGCTGTGCTAAACCTCGACCGTGGTCCCTTCGCTTCCTTAGAGCGTTGCTAAGATCCATTTCGTTACATGATGGTGATATTTATTCCGCTGTGTTGTGGGAAATCTCAGCATGCTCAAGACCCTTATTGCTCAACGTCAACCAGCTTGAAGGTAACGTTGACTACGACGGACTTTAGCTGGTCACGCGATCCCCGCTTCTTCTTGCAGCACCCGCTCTGCCTGCAGCAGCGGGTGGAAAACACTTTCTTGAAGAAAACGCTTGTCCCCAGACCATGCCATCGGTGCTCAACTGGTTTGTCCTCGACGGAGATAGCGCATAGCGCCCACGGTCGCCTATGGGTGGGGGTACACACCGTGTCATTGTTTCGTGAGCAGGTAAAGGGCGTGTATTTCGCCGTTCGTTCGCCAGGGGAATCGAGTTCTACAAACCAGGCGTGGGCGTTGGGCGTCCATGGAATGCCTCACGTGTACTGCAATGGTTTTGAACACCTGACCTGCGTGTGGGAGAGGTCGAGTCATCCGAGCAAGCTGACGGCGGATCTCTCCGCGAACCGCACCTGCGAAACAAACGATTGCCTTCTGCCCGCCCCGGCCACCTTGAAACAACACTGATGTAGCAGTCGAAGCCGTGTTGGCAGGAACAGCGATTTCCTCACTCCGCCTTTCGCTTGTCCCACAGGGTCTATACCGTGGACCTTAGCCAACCTAGGAGAACTTCAAGTTCTCATTCTAGAGGCGAACCAGCTCAGCGGTGAGTGCAGAAGGAGTTAGATGCGTATGTGTATTTTAGGAGCATCTTAGAACAGGACGCTAGATAACACGAATCAAGGCTGGCACGGGTCACGCTCCCGGTCTTGAGCTATCCTGAACACCTTTGCATAGTCGAGGCCTAGGGTGCAAGTCCCGGCGTGGCGTTCTTCGCAACACGATGTATCTTGAGTCTAGAGTGCCTGGTATGCAAGAAGGCCGACTTGAGGGTTGGCAAGGGAAAAATAGAACTGCGCGACCCGTCTGAATAAAATGAAATTGAAGGCATGGACTCCGGGGGAATCTTCCTGTTTGACACCGGTTCAGAGAAAGGGCAAAGACCGTAGGGTATTGAGAAACCTGCGAGCGATGATTGACCACGAAACGAGCCAGTTCGGATTTACACCTCCGTGAAATGTCGGCAATATCCGATGCACCCATTTCTCCGCCGCCACCTAATCCAAAACAGGGGTTGTGTCGCCGGAGCTAGGCGATATACGCGCTCTAAGATACCTCGAGCTCGGCGGGAACTATCTGAGGGGTGAGTTGACTGTAGTGACTTTGATCCGCTTGCGCACTGGACGGGCAAGGTCCGCGCAGATCGGCTTGTTCTGCTATGTTGTAGAATAAACTCAGAGTTGGCCAGGGTGTCCTCAGCTTTCAACGCAGCTCATTCCCCGTCCCAGTACATTACAGGGCGTAATCCTTAGGCCGCTCTCGGACAAGAGGGGACGAGACCCCAAGCACGGAAACGACAGAGGGTGGCCCCAACTCTGTGATACAATGCAGATATAAGCTCCGTACTCCATGAAAAACACCTGGCGGGCACATGGTGGCGACCACCAGGGGCAGAGTGGGAGTGAGTAGCGCAAATTGTGATGGCCTGGGTGCTTATTTTGCCCCCGCCTGTTGTTTTTTGCGTGAACCAGGAGGGCCGAAGTTGGGTGAGAGCATTTCTTCGTGGAGGACAAGACTAAGGAACCAGCAGCAGGTCGTCGTCACCGCTACCCCCCAACCAGAGGTACAGTTTGGAGGCCTTGTATTCTCCTACCCAACCACACAACAGCTACGCCTTGAAGAAACCGGACACGATATTGTCCACGGTGCTATGCGCAGGTATATTAGAAGCGCCGTGCGCTGCACACAGCAGTACGTACATCGTTGAACGTGAGGACATCGACTCCATTGGTACTGTAGAGGGTTTTGGTCGTCGTCGTCGCGGGGGGCGGACGCGGGCGTAGTGCCCGCGTTCCTCCGGCTTCGAGCCTCGCCTCTCTGCGCCTGGCACGAAAACGCCTCCATGGAAAGTGGGCATTCCAGTCCTCCGGCACGCTTGACAGGGCAGCGGCGATACCCTCTCTCGTTCGAGGGAAGGCAAGACATTGTTTTGAGGTGAAAACAAGATGATTTTGGAAGAGGACGTGCATCCAGCTGAGGCCGGAGCCAGACCGCGCGGTGCGACCGAACGACGCACCCTGAGCAAGATGGTGATTTTGCGGGGTTGTCTCTCCCGAGTGGACGAGAGACAAAAAAGGCAGCCCGCGAGGGTTTCTGATTGGCCACCGTTGCTTTTCGGGACGCGTTCCCGAGCATTTCGACACGGCGGTGCAGGGCAGCGAACGTCCAGGCTTTTGAATGTCCCGTTTCCCCGCGCGCGCTCCCCTCAGGTTCCCCCGCCGATGGCTTCGCCCGACCGTGACGCACTGGTTGCGCTGTTTCATGCCACGGGCGGGGATAACTGGACGCGCAAGAGCAACTGGTGCACGTCTGCTAAGCTGGGGACATGGAAGGGGGTCAAAGTCAACGAAGAGGGCCGCGTCGTAGAGCTAGATCTGTCGGACAACAACCTCCGAGGTATTCCCTTTGGGCTACGTACCTCCCTGAGACTTGCGGCCTGCCATACGATTTTTGTTACCCCCTCTAAGTACGATTCAAATGAAGTTGGGTCTTTGAAACTGCCGTAAGGGTGACAAGACACCTTCGGCGTCGTTCCTTTCGTAGGCCTTATCATGGTCTTGCTTGATAACCTAGATGTTCCCGGCCGAGCACCGATTCTGCAGGGGTCCAGCAGACTGGGTAGTTGATCCCCTGGCAGACCAGCTAGCCTGTAGTCTATGGTGCAATCTCCCTACAGGCGAAGTGTCTGATGAAGACAAAGCCGGACATTCCTGCTGTGTGTGGGCGCAGGAATTCCCTCAGGGACTCGTCTGTGTCGACTCTAGCGTGTCGTGGCCACCAAGGGGTGCGTAGGATAGACTCGCGCGGTAAACGTGGCGTAGTTAAGTTCTAAGAGGAGGAAACAGTCGCAGCTCATGTATGCATACCCCTATCTGGCCTGCCTCTTGCTCTACAGGTGTTGATCAATCTCTGCTCCCAGCTCTTGCGGGATTGATCTTTGTACTATTTTATCGCCAGTACTTGATTGTTGCCCTCAAAACCAAGCCTAAACGATCACCCAATTTCGGATATGCTCCGGTCTCTGGGCTGGCTCTCGCCGCAGGTACCATCCCTGTTGAGCTTGGGAAGCTTGGGGCCCTTCGACACCTCTCGCTGGCTTGGAATAAACTTAGCGGTGAGTGCTTGAAACCGCGACTCGGTCCGTTGGCGCCACGACCATCATGCTGTGACCCGCCCGCGTGTGGGTTGGGTGCATCCTGACCGCGGAGAAACCTGTCCCGTTCGAATTCACTTTCTGCTGTAACCTGTGCGCAATTTTCGATCCGTTCGTTCCAAGGTGTTGAGTTGTTGCGGCCGTCCAGGAAGATTCGCCAGCACAGCGATCGTCGAGCATATCGAGCGTCCAAAAGTGCGAAGGAAGCTTTCGTTGTGTCACCAAAAGTGAACATTTGTAGATCGTCGCGTCCCGGCCGTGCACGTTAGTGAGGGCATGGCTGGTCCTTGTTTCCGCGGAGCTGACTTGATGTTTCGCGTGTGTTCAGGTCCCATCCCTCCTGACCTGGGAAACCTTTCTTCCCTGGAAAAGCTGTCATTTTGGAAAAACGAGCTGAGCGGTGAGTTCGAATTAAGCGGGCTTTTGTGAACCGGTTTTCTGGTTGCTGTAGACCAGCTGGGTACAGGTTCTTCGCCCTTCCTCGTATGCATGCACATCCACAAAACTTTGTCAGCAGAAGCCCCCACCCACCAGCCAGGCTATTCGCCGTCCTGCAGCCATCACGAGTTCCTGAAAGGGTACCAAGTTGTCCGAGCTCAACGGGGACAAACATAATTTCAGCCAAGTTTCGTGTCCTGCTGCACCCACCAAGAGTTGCTGCAAATTTTTTCTGTGCGACCTTTTCCATTTGCTCGCATTGTGCGCAGGAGCAATACCAAAGGAGCTGGAGCGTCTTACAGCGCTCACTGTTCTGTTCCTCAACGACAACCGTCTGACAGGTGAATGTTAAACGTTGATACTCCGAGAAGTTTAGGCGTGCCTTCCACTCACGGCCTGCGCGGGACAATTGTTGTGGGAATACACGCCGACCAATGCCCTGCCTCACGGAGTATATTTACCTCTCCAATGACTCCCAGCCAACATGAATCGCGTAAGAACACCGAACTGCTCAACCTCGGAGATAGTTGGGACCTGCGGCGAAGGACTACCGAGTCCAGCGTGTATACGATAGAATGGGAATCGCGTGGGTTGGACGACATGGTCTAGAACCTTCATCAACAAATACTTTCATTTCATTTTTGTGTTTTGCCGCGTTGTCATTTCTACAGGATCGGTTCCCGAAGCGGTGAAAGGTCTCAGCCAGCTGGAGCTTCTTCGAGTCTCCAACAACCTGCTTGCGGGTAGGGGGAGGTCTTGCCTTAGCTTGTCGCCCTCGTTGTGTTTGTGGAAAACCGTCGATCTTTCGTCGTGCCTATCAGTTGGCGGGACACGATCCGCGAAAACTGTTAACTTCACGTGCCGGGAAGATTGCGTGGGAAACCCAGAGAGTAGCTTTTCTCTCCTTGGCAAAAGCTCACTGGTCGACTCCACTCCGCATTTGCGCAGCAGGGCTTGAGAGTCCCATCCAGGGGGGGTGGGATTTGCAGGACAGACTAAACATGCATCAGCAAGACCCATGCTATTTAGCAGAATCACGTCGAAACCAAGCTGACGGCAAGGTGTTGGTGGCCCAACACTATATCATGTTGTGGGATTGAAGCTTTGCTCCTTTTGTTCTCATGATGATGCAGTCTTGGCAGAGACGGCGCAGCGTAAGTTGTCTGGTTTGGCATAGTAGGAGATGAGACGTACGACGCATGCGCGGTAGTCCGCACGACTGGAACCTGACTACAGACGAAACCAACGTGTTGGTTCCGTTCTTGCTTGGCGCGTGTCAGAAGAATCGGTGGAGAGCGAGAGTCTAGACCGGTCGGAAGCCAAGCGTGACGGGCCACGCGTGGAGTCTCTGGCGCCAGAAATTACGTTGGTGAGATTCGGAAGCCGCCGTTGTCAGGCCGTCTAGAACAAACACGCAGACCGAAACCATGTCAACGAAATACCACTCACCGACGATTGTCTGTAGACCCACTGTTTCGCGCGTTTCGTCAGCCACGAACGACAACATTGGTAGTCAGCTGTGATACCAACGGGCACATATCGTGCTCTCCGTTTTTACCGCGCGTACTGCCGTCTTTCTCGCCGTTGTTCGACGCCCTTGCACACCCGGTAGGTTCCGTGTGCGGCTTCGACCGATCGCGATGCGCTGGTTGCGCTGTTCATTTCCACCAATGGGGCTACCTGGACATGCAACGACAACTGGGACACAGATGCTGAGCTAGGGACATGGCATGGGGTCGATGTCAACGAAAGGGGCCGCGTTGTAAAGCTGCAACTGGGTTTACACAACCTTCGAGGTACTGTGGCCCACCCCATAATGGTATGGTTGTTGCTCTCGCACGTTCTATTGGCTGGCATATCTTGGCTGACTCGTCGACCGAAGTCGAAAGGTCACTGAGTGTGCATTTTTTTTTTGCAAGGGATCCACGAAGTTTAATTCTGCGCCCCCGTGTTTTGCACTCCGTCTTCTCTTGGGCTTGTCCGGAATACGTGTTGGCAACCCGTATGTATATATCAACACGCGGTAAATATGATAACGCTCCCTCAAAATGTTTTTTTATTTATTTTTCTTAATATGACACAACGAATCCATCTCTATCGTAGAAAAGAGTCTGAGACAGATTAGCAATGAATTCATAGCGTCAGAAAGTACCTGTATGTCTACGATTTCCCAGACAGCATATAGGGACATATTCCCTGTTTTTGCATTCTACCAAGCTCTTTCGGCTTGACCCCATCTATTTAGCTTGTGAAGAGGTCTCTCCGTGTTTATGCTAGGGGGTAGGGTTAGTTCCTCTTTCGCAGGGCTCTGATGCGTCGTTTATCCGTCTCGGTCTCAACTTCGAACCGGCCCCACACGGACCCAGTGGGCTTTGGTTGACTCCCCTACAGGGGTTGTCCTCTCCGTCTTTGTCGCATCTGCTGTGCCTTTGAGCCCTGTCCGTGAAGTTTCGGCTCTTGTAGACATGTCGCCCGAGCTTCTCGAAAATACGTCCCACCAACGCGTTTTGGTGGGGCTCATCTACGAACGTCCGCCTAGCGCTCCGCGCAACGGAAACAAGCACCGAATTCATGCAATCGTGACGGTTTGGGCCGCAATACATACACCTGAACCTGTCAGTTCGGGACCCATGTCCGCAATAGCTCACATCAGACGCCCTCTCAACTACTCCGCTTCGTTTCCCCATGTGTTTCTTGCGCAGGACCCATCCCGGAAGCATTGGTGGCCCTCGACGAGCTCGAGGTACTGCAACTCGACTGCAACATGCTTACGGGTAAGAGGAGTGGTCCATGCTTTCCCGCCCCCCCGCGGGAGAGTGCTTCATGCCTGCAATCAGAAAACTTCCACCGGTATCGTCGTAGAACTGATCTCGTGAGAAATTTACCGCTCTGGCTACGTGTGCAGGCTTCATCCCCAAGGCGCTGAGGGTCCTCACCAAGCTGGAGAAGCTCATGCTGAATAACAACCAGCTGAGCGGTGAGCCCTGCTTTTCCTGTCTTACTTTTGAGAGAGCTTTCCGCGCTCTGTTCGTTTTTTATGGCTTCTGCCTCATCTAATCGTGATAAGGGCACCGGCCGGACATGTTGAACTGTACCTGGCAGAGTCTCGCCCAACAGCTTCGTTCTTGTGAGTCGATGATTCCGTCGCGCCGAGGTCGCCGAATGGCTGGGTGTTTCCCCGAGGTCGGGACTGTGCGGAGCGCCCAATCCCCTCAGCCCCAGTGGCATGGGGCTCCTTTCGGTAATGTCGCCTGCAGGTCAACGTGTAACTTGCCAACTTTTCACCGAGAGTTCGACCTTGGAATGTCTGTTTCGCCAACGTGCGAATCAACAACTGGTGTAGGATGACGAAATTGCCTTGTGTGGCAGAAAGCCTCACGTTTGACCCGATCGTGCAAAGGAGAGGCTGAGCTCTTTAGGCTTGCTTGAAGATCGAACTCGTAGGGGAAAATGGACGTGCGTGCAAACAGCAGTGAAGGTTCGCCAACGCTTGGGTAGAGCGGAGTGGATGCTCTGGAAAGGCGCGGGACATGTCACGCGTTGATACCGTGTAGCACTTGCTGAACTCGGTCTGCTCGACCGCTCCAGGTGCTATTCCCCCCGAGCTTGGGCAGCTTGGTGCCCTGGAGTACCTCATGTTGATGGGTAACAACCTGAGTGGTGAGTTTTGCTCGCGAGAAGTCGAAGTAAGTGGTTGGGTTTTCGTTTTCATCTCGTCGTGTAAGCGATAAAGTGTTCTACAAGCTAGACACGATGGAACCGTGTAACAATAGACAACTCACGGTTCAGCTACATTGTTGTCCCTACGCCGAAGCGCCTGCGCTTAGGGTGAGGTAGACGAAAACGCGTCCTGTACGTGTTAGTCTAAGGTTTCTATCCAGTGTGTACCACGTCCATGCAACATGTCCGCCCGCGAGTTGGCGGGACAAGTGGTGTAGAAGGTGATTGCCATGTCACTCACCCGTTCCACTAATTCGTCGCTGTGTTGACTGTGCAGGACCCATCCCGGAGGCGCTGGGAGCTCTCAGCGAGCTGAAAATGCTCGGGCTCAACAATAACCGGCTCAAGGGTGAGATATGTTTGTTTGTTTTTTTTAGAGATATTTAGGGAGAAATATAAAGGGACGAGAAAACAAGAACCGAAGTAGGTAAGGTGCTTCCTGCGGTGTCACCGAAAGCAGACGTCCTGTGTCGCGCACGCGGGATGCTTTTCGAAAGCCCCCCCCCCATTTTCGCTTCGGAAATGGGGGGAGGAAGAACTACCGGTAGTAGACAAGTATACGTACCTGGGAGTAGAGATTTCGAAGGAGTGCTCATGGGACGCACACATAGCGAAGTTGATTGGGAAGGGAAAAGCTCAGATAGGCAAGATGGACGAGATCTTTACGGACCCACACCTGGACACTAGGATTAAGAGGTGTATTCTCTTGAATGTGATTGTACCTAAGCTAGAGTATGCAGGAGAGGTATGGGAAGGTAACGAAAAGGCCGTCAAGCAGCTGGAAACGGTGCAGATGGCAGCGGCCAAGAAAATATTAGGATGTTCAAGTACAACGAGCAACACTGTATTGAGAGCAGAATTGGGAATGTACTCTCTTAAAACAAAGAGAGACATGCAGAAGTTGAATTGGCAGTACAAGGTAAGTAGAATGTCGGACGATAGACTACCAGCCATGGTTGACAACGCAGCTTGGGGAAAAGCGACTCCAGGAAAGAAGGGAATCAGATGGAACAAGGTGGTAGAGAAGGTTTGGAAGGAGATAGGAGACGAGGAGGAGACGTTGGACACGGAAGGGTTCGGGGGGTTCAAGACGAAAGTCATGGAGATGCTAGAGAGTAGGGAGGAGGCAACCCTTCGGAAGAAGGTACGAAGCGAAGACCACTTGGAGATATACGGGAAGTTGAAAGAATGGATAGGGATGAAGAGGTACTTGGACGGCCCCATGGACAATGCGAAAAAGCTGAAATTGCAATTTCGAGTAGGCGATCTGGACTTGCCAGAACGGAGGAAGAGGTATACCAGCCGTAGGAGAGAGGAAGAGGAGGATAGACACACATGTCCATGTGGCAAATCGGAGGAGAGTAGACCCCACATAGTTGGGGAGTGTGAGTTGTACAAGAAGGAAAGAGAGGATCTCGAGGAGGAAATGAGACAGAGAGGGTGTGACATGGACAAGTTTGGTAAATTTAACAACAGCGAAAAAACGATCGCGATAATTGGGGATAGATGGTGGGCACAAGAGGCCCTAGAAGACGGGGATAAGATGTGCAAGAAATTTTTGTGGAGTTTGTGGCAGAAACGTAAAGAGCTCCCAAATGTTGGTGGTGTCTCTAGTAGGTGTAGGAACGGTGCTCCGTCTCGAAAGGGACGCGTGGTCAATGGTCAAATGACTACGGCAAGCAACAAATGAGTACGCCCCCCCCCCCCATTTTCGCCACTTATACATAAGTGCCGCTGCGTTCGCCTTTCTCGTTAACTTTGCCGCCGTGCTGCTTTGCTTTTTCAGGACCCACCCCCAAGACGCTGGGAAAGCTCAGCGAGCTGGAGGAGCTTGGGCTCAGCAACAACATGCTTGACGGTAAGGAGAGGGTTCGCGCATTTTTTGCTCCTGCTATGTACTGCTCACGGAACCAATTTTCGCATTTAGGTTGAAATGAGCCGCGAAGCGGCGACTGCCGCTTCCTTTTTTCACTCCATCCAAGGAGGGGGAAAAGGCTCTATAAATATGTCGGCTTGTTCCAACGCGATGCAGCGGCCCAACTTTGGTTTCCGGGCGACCGAAATTACCCTCCGTTTCGACCTAAACAAGACCTAAGAGCACCGATTGACGATCTGTTGGCTTCTGAGGAGGAAGAAAAATCGGGCAATCTTCGTGACACCGGTTTGGTGGTACTCCGACAAGAGGTGGCCATGCTACACAGGCGTTTGTCCCGAAAATTCGTAGAGCTCCTCATCCTGACCCCGGTAGTTATCGAGGTACCGGGGGAGCACATTGCGGAGATCCCATTCACAAACTGAAGCCAGCGTGGAGAACGAAGGTGACGCTAATCTCATCACGCATCCATCGAAACACACCCACTCACCGTGTCCCCAATCCCTTCCATATTCATGGCAGCAACAGCAGACACCTGGTGCCCAGTCTCTGACTACGCAACAAGGAGTGTTGACGTACAAACTCTCACGACAATGGGTGAAAAAATGTGGGAGTCGTGGGATTCATTGCCAGAAGCAGCAGCAGCCGCTGCCACCGTTGGTGTAGCGCTTGACATTTGACACTCCAGCGGGGAGCAAATGCACCCAGTCTTGAAGACCCGCTCGTAAAATCGGGGCTTGAAACGAAGTCGAATTCGGCACGAAAATGGATTTGGGCGTCTGCCCTGATAGAGTGTTGAATTTGTTTTCTGTCGACCGTTGTCTTGCTCCCTACGAGAGAACACCGGGTAGGAAAGACATATTGTCGAGATCACCCCACACACCCTACTGCTATCGTGATTTAAGGCTGACGCCTCTGGATCATGCACAGATTCTTGCCCCGCCGACCGCAGTCGGCGCGGCAGTGCATCAGTTGGACCGCCAGCCTCAGAGCTGGAGGACTCATCCAATATCCAATACTTCCATTAATTGATCCTAGGCCAAGAGCAATACGGCATCAGAAATTCCAGAGTACGGTTAGGGCTGGCTCTGTTTGAACTGTGCTCGTTGCCATTTTCCACACCGCATTGTCCGACGGCTCTATCTCGTGTGTTTGTGTCTGCTACCATTGTTGATGATGCTAGCGGCAGTGCCGTCCCGTGCCGATCGTCGGCGGTACTGGTGTATGTAGCAGGGCAAGCGTGTCAGGGCGTTTTGCGCGTTCCTCCGCCTTTGGTGTGTAGCATTCGGCATTCCGGCGAGGAGCGGATGCACCATACGTTTCATTTTTGGAGATCGGCTAGAATATTCCGGACACGTATGTATGAATCGCGGAAGTCTCCGCCGGTGTGTGGTTGCTGCCTTGAAGCAGCGTGTCTCGCACAGTATCGCAGATAGAAGACTACTGCAAGGTATTGAGTCGCACTCAGCTGCTCATACCCCTCCCTGCGAGTAAGTTTCGGATGTTTACTCGTTCACTTGTTGTGCAGGATGCATCCCCGAGGAGCTAGCAGCCTTGACCAATCTGCGATGGCTCCAGCTCCAGAACAATAAGCTCACAGGTGAGAGGGTTCGCCACAGGAATTTGTTCGCCTTTTACCTTTTTTTGTGGCTCTAGGAGGCGACCCGCTGGCGGTAGAAGCCTACATAGCTTCTCGATTTTTATTCGAATTGCTGCGATATATGTTCTCGTCTCTGTGACCGATGGAGCGAGATTCTACTCGGACGACCCGACACAACTCCCGCGGCACCAAACCCTTGCGGGTTTGTAAGATGTCCCTGCACCTGAAGCACAAACCCCTTCCTTGTAGCACCGGTCGGAGCGAAACTGCTATAGCGACCTTGGGCAACCGAGCTCCCCAACGCAATACACTGCCACCGGCAACACCCCGTCCACCCCCAAACACCCCATTGTTGAGGCCATCGTATATATTTCCGCGAGATGCAGCTCCAAGGCACAGGCAACACCCAGTGGGGCCTCCGCTGTGAGAAAAGAAGACCACCCTTGTCAAAACAATCTCCAATCCCCCTCCTTCAAAAGAGAAGCGGCGGGGGTGGGCAGGACAAGAACTACGATATGTGTGTAGTACTAACACTGGTCCAAGCTTCGGACGTAAGTAGCTAGCAATACCTCCTACCCTGAAACGCAGACTTCTTATCCCCATCACCGTGCAGATGGATCCAGATGACATGCGCCCATGAAACCCTAATAACAGCAGCAGTAGCCAGGCGGCAGATGAGAGACAATGAGGGCATTTCTCGGAGACCCCAACACTCAACGGACATATCCAAACCAACACGCACCTAGGGCAGCCAAATACGCAAGTGACGTAGATCTACAAGGCGGTCCCTTCGGGGATGGGTTAGGCTCATGAGAGCACATTGGTGACGGCGGATGGAAATAAAAGCAGGGTGCACGGGTGACGCTTCCCAAGCTCAACAGCTCGCACAGCAGGCGTGTTTTTTCACTCAAGAACCCAGCAAACCTGAAGCATTCAAACAGAAAATGTTTTTTCGTATACAAGCACAGTCTTTTGTGTCTCAATTCTGCCGATTCACAATAAGCGTGAGATTATTCAGTCTTGTCACAGCAATCTTTTTTCTCGCGTCGTTTGTTCACCTTCGATTGCTTGTGGTCGTGCCGGACCGTGCAGGATCCATCCCGGAGGCTCTGGGAGCTCTGAGCAAGCTCAAAGAGCTTAGACTCAGCAACAATAAGCTCTCAGGTGAGGCAGGCTTGCCATTTGCTCCCTGCTCGTCAGTTGTGATGCCAACCCACGTGTGGGTTAAATTTTTGCCAAGGCAGTCTCGAGAGAAGGCGCCGTTCTCATACTCGTGCTTCACGTTGTCGCTACGAAGCGTCGCCAGCTTCGTAGGTGATGCGAGGTCCCCGAGCTCCTTGTGCAGGCTGCGCCAAGCCCTGACATTGAGTATGCGACGAGCGCTGGGCTTCTAGAATATCCGTTCCACTCTTGCGCTGCAGCCTTGGCAGGGTTTTTCGTTTAAGTTGGCATGTTGGATAAAGCATGCAATCGAGGAAGTTGGGTCAGGGACCGGGTCTGCGTGCGCCCTCTCCCTGTTCTATTTCCTCATAAAATGCATTTCTCGCGAAGGCGGCCCCTCTTGTATCTTCACGGGACGTTTGAAGATTGAGGCCGGCGCGTCGAAATTGACACTGTCCCAACGCTTTGGCTTGCACATCCCGCATAGGAACCGTGCCGGAGGGCCTCGGGGGCCTAACAGGCCTGAGAGGGCTACTGCTCAACGACAACAACCTGGAAGGTGCGTGTCGTGTAACGTTTGACTTTTTTCAAGTTTCAGTGATGGAGATTCCCAGTAGACTGCTGAATCCCTTGATGGGCAAGGCCGAGCACTCTTCGCAAGTCGAAGAACAAATAAGAAAACACACGCCCCCGGCCTCCTGGTCGGTACCCTCGTATGTTGCCTATTAAGCGTACAAAAACACACACACACACACATGGACCTGCATACCGTCCCTCTCAGCTTGGCGAACCTGCAGAGTTTGTCGATTATTGACAAATGTTGATCTCACCACTAGAGAACGTTAATGTTTCGTAGTCACCAGACACACGCCTGGCACTTGTTGTGTGGAACTGGCAAAGACACACGGTACAATTCTCCCTTTTCATCTGTTGCTGCTGTCGGCTGCTGGTGCAGGAGTCATCCCTGAGGCGCTGAGAGCTCTCAGCGAGTTGAAGAGGCTTGACCTCAGCAACAACAGCAGTATCACGGGTGAGTGGTAATGTTGCCCTCTTGATCACGTGCCTACTCGTCGCGGCACATGGAAGATGCACGTTCAATAGAGTCGACGCTATTGAACTTATGCACCATGTGATTTGCGTTGGCCACGTCTTCGAATTACAAAACACACGAAGAGACACGGCAATTCACGGCGCGTGTCTGTGGATTCCATGTTTGATTGGCTCTGTCCCATGACCCCAGCATTTGCGAAGTGTTTGTAAAACAAGATGAACCGATAGGTGTACAAGACGTTTTGTCCGCGGGAAAACGCCGGACGACTTTGTGAGCGAGCTACTATACCATCGTGATTTCTCGGCCAAGGACATCGAAGCGAAAACGAACATGACGGCGCGTACACTGTTGGTCGAGGTCGAGTACTGGCCTCATCATCGGCCTTCTAGAGGAATCAGAGGAATCGTGATCTACGAGAAATGCCGCTCAAACGGGGGAGATCCGAACAGCTACTGTCCATTCAAACATGGAGACGAGTAAATACCCTTGAGAATAATACACGGCATGCTTGATGTGGGAAAGCTCGAGGTAGCTAGGCGTATCTTTGACGTGCGCGACCATACACTGCTCCAACGGCCGGAGCCTGGAATAACGAGAAAGCCGGCATATTAGATCTGTGCTTGCCTTGCATTTTGTGTTGACCCAGGCGGGCCTGAACATGGGGATCTTGACTCGTGGAGGGCAAGAATACAGCCGCAGCAGCAGCGGGAGGCTGAGCACGATGACCCAAAAGAGGAAGCCGATGTTGCGCAGCACAGCCTCCGATCACAAGACGCGGAGACGGTGGAAACAGATATCGTCCACCCTGGACCCTCTTGCCCAGCGGAGGAGGAGAGAGACCCGGGTCACTCGTTTGGGGAGCAAGTCGCTTCCTTTGCGGGCTTGGCTGCGCTTACTAAAGGGGATTGCGAGGCTCTGGACGAGATCAAACAGCTCATCAGAGCACCACCCATCAGGGCACCACCCGCTGATGGCGTTTCTCCGGCCCCAGAGCCTATCGACGAAGAAAAGCTTCGGGATCTCAACAGGCTGGCGGAAATGGCCACGACTCTGAGCGAAATTGCTGTGAGTGTCCCGGTGTGGACAACGTTCATTTCGACTCACAGCAACAGTGTGCAAGGGCTAAGCTGACACGATCTAGCTGATCCCACGTGGTGCGCATTGAGTACGCCGCACCAAAGCAGTCACTGCCATTCCTTGCAGAGAGTCTGTGTCCCGGCCACTATCAAACATGCGTTGAGCAATCGTGCCCTGTGCGTGCGCTCTTCTTGAAACAAATCTCCGTTCGTTATGGTCGGGTGAGCAGTCCAGCCACATGGAGGATCAGTGGATGCAAGAGAGGGAGCAGGGTTTGTCGCAGGCGCGCAAGGCGTACTTCAACGCCGTCCGGGATGGCGTATGCAACGCGTTCCTCGCTTCCAGCGTCGTCGGCAGCAACTTGGTTGCCACGAGCAAGACCGGTGGGATAGGCACGGTAAGCGCTGCTGTGGGTTGAGACCTGATTTGTCGTTTCGATGTTTTCCTTGTGTTTGTTGTATGAGATGCATGTGGCGCGTGCACCCCAGTCTTAGCCCGATGTGCTCTTCTTGTTTTGCAGGCAGGAAAGGCCTTGAAACTGCTGTCTGCCGCCGTTCCTATGGTTGGAGGGCTGGGAGGCATCGCATCGGCGGCTTTGAAGACGGGAGACCGCTACATCCAAACTCGGCGAGTGGTGAAGGTAAGCCTCTCCTCGTGCGTCTACGGTAGGTCGACGTCGTGACATATGTAGGTTGCGGCCGCCTCTCTTGCCCCCGACCTGAGATAACCTTGACAGAATTTTCCTTGGCAGAATTGTACGCGACCAACCTCTTTGGTCGCTTTGACAGATCGCCGACATCGCGCGGGACGCGGTTGAGTGCTGTTCGCTGGCAAGGAGATTAGCGTTGCGACTCGCCGAAGGCCTTGCGATTGGCGCCTCCATGGCCGACACGGTGGCGGGCACGATCGATGGGACTGGTGAGGATTACGTTATGAAGTCCCTGGATGTTGTTGTGGGATGAACATCGCCGTGGCGTCAAGAGGACGGCGTACTGCTGTAGATGGCCACACACCCATTGGCACATGATTAATTTGAGTCGCCTTGTTTGTGTCGCGAGGGAAATATTTTCATCAACGCGCACTTCCATGTGTTCCCCGAACGCCAAAGTACGTCGAATATCTTCGGCGGACAGATGGGTGTGCAGGATGGTCATCTTCACGTTCGTACTGCCGTTTCTTCTACCGTAGCTGAGCAAGCAGATACTGAATACGTGAGCAGTTATCCATCGGGTGTTTGGGATGTTGGCGTGTTGACGAACACTACAATAAGCATCGATTTCATCCCGAAAGATGGGCACCGTCCGGCCCAGAGACGGCTGACTCTCGCCACCTTCATCATTATGTGTTCCGATCCCGGAGCTCCACTCCAAGGATCATTTCTCCTCTGCACGGGCGTTGTACAATGATTATTTCTTACGTTCAGGAGGGGGCGGATGGAGTCAGGGCGAGTATGCCTTGCCAGACGGCGCGAGGGATAGAGACGTCATGGAATGGTTTGCCGACGAGGTGGCAAACCTCGAGCCGCAAGACCACCACGCGACGAGGACGACTCCTGAAGAACAGGTATCGAGACAGGTCGTCAAACCTCGGTGTTCATGTGGCTCGACTTGCAAGCGAGTTGTTGAGTCAGTCCCGTGTCAACGTTGCTGGTCCCTTCGAGGATGACCAAAACCGGACGCACGCTTTTGCCGGCGACGTTGCCCTTGCCACGCTTTCGTTGTGGCCCCCGGTCTCTCCAGGCTGGGAGACGGCTGGGGAAGAAGCACCTCCAAACGCTGCTGCTGGCGGTGGGGAATGGTCGCCTCGAGGGCGCGAAAAGCATCGAAGAAAAGGTAAACGTTTGTCTGTGGGATAACAATCCTGTGCACCTTGGATTGCTTGTTTTGTTTTTTGTGCCCGACGCTATCTTCGTGGCCGCCATGTTTGTGTTCGCCATTGAGGAGCATCCTGGGCGGAGGTTTTGTCCTCGGCCTGTGGCCTGCACTCCTTGTGGGTAGCGGCCTTGTCGGAACCCCAGCTCGGAGGCCACTCCATGTCACACGTGGGTCCTGTGCGGATGTCGGCTCGATTACTAGTGCTTCCTTGTTGTGCGAGACGAGCCTCTCCCGATTCCGAAGCGCGTACGTTCAGGACGAACCCTGGAACCTTGCTCTTGTTCTGGTGGTGTCTTGAGGAGCGCTTGAATAGTAATGCAGCACAACTGACCTGACCCGTGGCGGATTCCTAGGTTGAGCTTTTGGTCCGGACCGTCCTCCCTGAGGACGAGGGAAACGCCGTTTCGACGCCTCAAGCCCCGGACGTTGTCGTGGAGCAAGTCCCGAGCTCCACCGACAGCGTGTTGAGGCAGACGGATTCGGCAGCAAGTCTCCTCATCGGTCGCGACAGTGTAGAAAGTGACGTCAGCAGCGTTGCAGCGTTAATGGGGGAAATACAATCCTTGCGGGTCTCTCTGGACGACTCGAATGCGAAGCAGTCCAAGCTGGAAAACGAGGTAAGCAATCCGTGGCCGGCGTAAGCGCAGAAAACATTGTTTCGAGGTGACCCACACAGCGGTCCATTCGTCGCTTTGGGAGACTGGCCTGCCTCACGGCTCTAACGTTGATACTTGCACGGCGCATGTTGTGGCCTTTGGTTTCACAGGTGAGCAGCCTAAAGGAGAAGGTGAAGAGCGCGCCGGACTCTGATGGAGTGGTGTCCATCGGTACGTCCCGCGCTGGAGATACGTATGTACCACTGCTGTTTTGCCCCCTGGCGTGTAGTACTACACCCGTTCTTGGTGGCAACGGAATGCTTCACGTGTGCGGTGTGTACGAAGTCATAATTTTTCGGGAGACCCAGACTCAAGTGCAAGGTGCTTGCTGCAGACTCCCGCGTCGGCAAATAATTATTCTTTTATCGTGCTGAGGAGGCAACCACAGTAGTGTGGTTCAGAGGTAATTAACCCTGGCTCTGCAGCCTACTAAATAGAGTGCTGTTTCAGACCCACCATTTTTTCCCCTGCGCTTTGTCCCACTCTATTTTATTCCACGGCAATCGGTACAGGTGGAGGGCAAGCTCTCATGCAGCGGGTAGTTGTTACCAAGAAACCGGAAACCTTCCTCGAGGAGTCTCAACACGAAGGTGAGCGCGCGGTGTAGTAGGCCCCGGTAAGGGATTGGGGTTGACGATGCCTCCGCATCGTTTCGTGTCGGCAGCGGTTGATGCAGATCCGTTTCGTTTGTAAGATACGTCGCGTTCGTCCCGGTGGGGCTGATTTGTTTCGTCTTTTGATTCCTCGTCCTGTTCCCCTTGTTCCCCGAAGGCGTAGGAGCTGCGACAGCAGTACGTAGAGCGTCGAAGACATTCCGCTTCCAAAAGCCTCCTACTCTTGTGAAGTTCTCCGCACAACCCTCTAGCCCTGCGCCATTTGCAGTTGCGCGGTATTCGCAGGAGGCGGGCCATGGTACCTTTTCTCCGTCTCATGCGGAACACGACACTCATGTCAAAAGAAACTGATTTAGGTGTTTTGTGTGCCTGTTTCGTTCAACGATCCTCTGCTCTTCCGTATGGGGGCTCGCTTGCGCTAGCCGTGGCCGCGGATCAGTACGTGCCTATCGACGAATGGATAGAGTACAAGGAACGCCAGGCCGAAATCGATCGCGGGCATAGCGACAAGATCGACGGTCTTGAAGTGAAAGTTGACAGGAAACAAGACCGAAAACGTGGTAAGTTCGCTCGACCGTCACGTTCTTCCGTACTTTAACAGAGGAACCGCGCGAGCTCCTCGCTTGAGTTTAGTGTAGCCTTTCCTCTCTCCATTCGTTTTTGTCCCCTGTGCGGGAGGAGGGACTGAATTGTCGCATGTTTTAGGCAGGTGTAGAGCACCCACCGAGAAATGTGGCTCCTTTTCTTAGTAGCTCGTCAAACGAATCGATAGACTAATATCTTCGGTTGTCCCCCGTGCGACGCGGATTTTACCCCACTCGGTGTTATCGTGCGTTGACGGGGCCATACGAGAGTTCGTCTCTTGTGTGTATACTCTGATCGCCACCTTCCCGTGCATGAGCACTCGCTCTGTAAACTGCGGTGGTGTAAGGTTCGGTCAGCTGGCAGATCCTAGTACGCCACAACTTCTCTTTGTCTGAGGTCCCGCCGATACGTTCTCTGACTGTTGCGGCGCTTCGCAGGGAGTGTGTTATCCTCCCGGCGTGGGAAAGGTTGACTGTCAAGACATGGCCACCACATCCTGCGAATGCAGATTGATTTTTGGCACTCCCTTGGGCTATGATTTCGCGCACTAGGGATCGAGATATACCGGCCTGAGGATTTATCTTCGTCTTGAAGGAGGCTAACCTAGCTGCAGCGTTGCCGGTTTGGGCACATGCGCTAATATCATGTCGCCGAGTTGGGTCTGGTCTGCGCCGTTTAGACAACTGTAGACGCATGCCGAGGACCATGTTCTAGGAACCAATCAAATATTTTTACGTTGGACTATTCAGTGTCAATCGTCCCTCACGAGCGAGCAAAGATTTCGCGTTGCTTGAGTAGTGCGGCGGCATGCTTGTCTTGAAAAGGCCTGGGGCACGGGTGCCTTCGCTCCGTATCTGAGAGGAATGTCTACTTGGCAGTTGGCGAGGGAAGTGGGCTGCAGCAACTACCGCGGTCGGCGTTGGCAACTTCGTCCATTTAGTTATTGAGTATGTATTTGTTCGTCAATGGATACTGCTGTATCAATATGTAGTCTAGACTAGACATTGCACTGCCCAATCAGCGCCGACTGGGTAATCCAAATATGTGGGAGGTCAAGGCCTCTGACCCGCGCATCGCCGGCAAAAAGGGCCTGAAAATGCCTAGGGCCATGACCTCGGTAGCGCCTGATGAGGGGGGGGGTTGGCCCCTCGGATATCACTGCCGACAGGGAGACGGTTTCGTCGAATCGAAGCATGCAGTGCGGAGTACTGCTTTTTTTCACCTACTTATTGAGAGGGTGAGTTTGCCTGCTGCTGTCGTGACGGGAGACAGACGCGTTCGCCCAACCCTTAAGCATATGTAAGCATGTTATACTTTTCGTCAGATGGGCTTTACCCAGTCGGTCGAACCAGCAGTGTTTTGGCTCCCGCGCTACAATACAATACTTGTGGACGTAACTCTTATACTCTTCTCTCTCCTCGTGGTTCGTTTCGTCCGACTGGATTTTCTTTGCTGGCCTGTAGCGACCGCCAGAGACAATCGACGTTTGTTGGTGATGTTGATCATTTTCGAAGGAAGGTGCAGATTTCGTCAAGTTTCAGGCACTCTTTTGTCCTCCAACCCGAGGGCACCACGCCGTCGCCTGCTAACCGCGGACGAGTGTGTGTATCCTCCATCAACCGTACGTACTCTGTAATTGCTGTACGTATGTGTACGAGTCTGAGTGTTAGTCTCATTTTCATAGACTAAATAATAATGACCGCGTAGAATATAGAGTTAATTAGATACACAGGCAACAACGTCTAAATATCAGCGTATTTATGTCTGCCGAGTTCGTGGTACTCTAATTATTTGCGACCGACGAGCCACGTATCCCCCGTTGTACCTCCAAGGAATTCGCGGTGCCCCCAGGTCAACTCAGCCGCGTGCTGTGTGCTGTGTGCGCGTGCGTGCTGCGTGCACGTCCACACAGCGGTACACAACGCACAGGAAACACACGCGGCGCAGAAGTAGCATGGTGATCTTGTCCATGTTCCGCCCTCTGCTTACAGCAAGAGGACACTTCGCGGTATCAGCATCATGCCGGAGAGCCCCGGTGGTTTGCCTCTCTGCTGCTTCGCAAGCGAAGGTAAGACTTCGTCCGCCTACAGTAGTAAATGAAGGCGTCAACAACAACGCCAAGCCTCTGCCGCGGCAGAACAAGCCCATTGCCTCCTTAGCTTACAGCAACGTGAAGACAACGGTGAGGACCCGAGGTTTGACTCGCGAGACGTCTTGGTATGTCGCGCGAGTGCTCTCTGGTGTGTCATGTGGACTTCGCTGCATACGTATTTTGAATTCAAAACCATGTCGAGGTTCACCACTTATTCGAGGGTACAGCAGTAGGTACACGCCATTGCTTGTGTCCAGTGGTCCAGGGGCTTATGCATACAATCAATCACGTTGGTCACACACCTTGGTGATTCACCTCGCGAGGCAATAAAGCCCTAAAGGCCTACGCTGCTACTGTTGTCGTGGGAATCGCGGTTCGCCTTCACTTTACACGACGTCTGCCAACCTGTACATGCAGTATTTTGTTGACTTGCTCCATCCCGAAATGCCCACGACTGGCACAGCTCGCCACACCTCCTGCCGCACGGTGTCCGTCGGAGGAACATAGCTTATGCAGGAGTACTTGGTTCTGTGTATTCCTGGGTGTCGGCGAGGGAGTTGCCGCGTGAGATGTCGATGTAGACCACCATACGACCATACGGTTACATTTGTGCCAAGTTCAACTCTGCGAACTGCGAACGTGTACAACGAACGTCCTCTCTGTAGACTATGCCTGTGGTAACAGCAGTGTGTTACGTGTACCAGTCGTTTTGTAGATACCCGCGAGCGTTGTTCTGCGGCACAGCCGTCTGTCCTGTGTGCTGCCTGTGGTCCACAAAAGTCGGCTACACCTCCTCGTCGCTCGCTCTCGTGTGCTGCTGGTCGGAAATTTGCTGGCTGCGGCCCGTATCCCACCAACGACGTAATCGGCATGTGTCTGGACGCATAAAACTCAGCCGGATCTCGGTGCTCCGTGCAAGTGTGCAATACAATAAAGAGAGCCGAGAAAGTGTTTTCAACTTGACAAACCGGCTGGTCTGCCGCACGGCCAACGGCAATCCAGTCTGAACGAAAGCAGTCTCCGCCGCTTGCCCGTCGAAAGCACCCCGTTCAGAGAGACCCTCAACTCTGACCATCTGAATTACACAACGCGTCACCATTCACAGCAGCAGGCACAAATAATTGGTGCAGTTGATTGAGAAATTGAGAGTTCGATTTTCACGGCATCTAAGAACTTGAACCCCACCCACTACAGCCTATGCATTCCCTGTCGGTTTCCCCACTTCTGTAGAAGTAGTATGTAAGGGTTGCCCAAAAACAAGAGTATCTCTGCGACAGATACCTTGAATCCCTCTAGACTTTCCGTGTCCAGTTTATCACTTTCATTAATTTCGAATTCCTTCCATACGTCATCTACAACCTTGTTTACCTCGCTTCTTGTTTGCCCACTTTGCCTCCTGCTCATGTTTGAGACATGGAATAGCCAGGAGAAGACGGCAGCTGTACTGGGGCATAGGAAGTGGGTTGAAAAGGCGGGAAATGATATTTGTATCGATGGGATACGAAGGCTAGGGAAAACATTTATGATCCACCTTTGGCGAAGTAGGAGTGAACGATTGGCCATTGGTAATCGGTCCTGTGGAAACAGTGCTCCGTCCTCTCGAGGACGCGTAGTCAATGGCCTGACCGCTAAGGCATGCAAAACATAAGAGAACGCCCCTCCCCCCACCCCCATGCGCGCGCATTTGGCCGTCCGGATGGTGGCGGCCGACTGCTTATGAAGCAACCAGCGATACCGAGTGCTCGTCGGTGGTTCGCCGCCATCGGGGCCGGACCTCAGGAAGGGCTTGACGTCGAGGGGGCCAAGGCCGCGCTTCGAAGGGCACAGGTATGGTGATATGGTGCTCTTGGCAATGATGGCCGCTGCTTTTTGTTCTCAAGGACCCCTGTCCTGCACCTATTCCTCGTCGCCCAAGCCCCCAGGGTACCCGGGGTTGAAAGGGTGCACAGCACGGCATGGAGGCAGCACAAGCACGCGGTGTTGTAATTATTTTGTGCGTCCTTGTTTTGGGGAGCGAGGAGCAGAGGCCTGCCACGATGCTTATGGCCCGCGTTTGTTTACGTCCCGTCTTGCGGCGTGCTCCATCCTTGTAGCCAGCAACCCCCTTTGGTTTCAGATTTGGTACAAAGCTCACGGAACGCCAGCCGGGAGTCTGACACGACCACCGGTTTTCTTTCTCCACCAGCGCCGGATAGCCTGCTAAAGGGTTACATCACCAATATCATGAGGCGCCCCCCATGCATCTCACTACTGTCGTCGTCATGTCACGGCATTGACCATTGAACCAACCGCCCGTCAAACCGCCGGCCCTTCACCAACCCAAGTGCTATCTGGCTGTTTGTACACATGCACGCAGGCGGTCTGTTTTGACGTGGACAGCACCGTCATTGCAGAAGAGGGCATCGATGTCCTCGCCGATTTCTGCGGAGCTGCGGAGGCTGTCGCTGACCTCACAAGTAGGTTAGTTCGCCGGTGTGCTTTGGGGTGCCTCTTGGATTCCAGCATGTAGTTCCTTGCAACCAGAGTTGAAAGTGCTGTCCGCAGGTTTGTGGGCGATCTCTCTCCCTTTCCGTGGACTCCTTGTGGCAGGCGTTGAAAGCGCACCCTCAGCAGGTGTGTCGGTATGGACGGCTTTCGATCCAGGCCGTATGACCCGGATTGATAGTCCCTGGGCTGGCGAAGGGTGTTGTCACCGCAGACAAAGGCAGACGCGGCAGTCAGAAGGACGATGTACTACCGGAAAATGTGCAATATCTTTGAATTCAAGAGACGGTCTTTCCTCGGTGCAACCGAGCAACGAGCCCTCTACCAAGCACTTGACGGCCATTTCTTGCCCCAACCCACCACTCTTCTGTACCACGGCTCTGGGTTTATCGAACCGTTACTCCTAGCAATCAAATTTAACCGTTTCTCCTAGCAATCAAATCGAACCGTTACTCCTAGCCATCAAATCTGAGACAAGACATCCCACGTAGTAGGAAACCCAGATTGGAACAACCTCTAGGCCAACCCGAAGGTTCCCAAACCCCCCAAGACCGGGCGAAACTCGAAGCTCTCGACTTTTTATTGCAGGGCGATGGGCGGTTCGATGCCTTTTCAGGACGCCCTCAAGGCGAGACTGGACCTCATGACCCCGTCGCAGAAGGTGGTGGACCTCTGCCTGAGGGAACACCCGCCACGGCTTTCTCCCGGTGCGTGGCTGTTTTTGCAACGCGCAAATAGACGAGTCGTGGAGCTGCTGTTGAGCTCTCGTGTGCGTTGTTGTTTTTGGTTGTTGCCGTTGTTGTTCATCCTCACCGGATGAGCGCGTGGCCGGCGGGTTCCCTCTCTCTTCGACTCTAGTTGTGTCTTTCACTGGTGTTTGGAACGGCTGGCATCCATGGTCCTCGGGATAGAGGCCGTGGTAACCCCCCCCCCCCCCCCCCGCGCGCCCAATATCCTCAGTTCTTCTCTTTGAGGATGGTTCTGCGGAGTTTTCCGCATTCCTACCTACATCGTGCATCACTCCCTCCACCCCCATTCCGCCCGCTGTGCTGTTTACCATGCATGGTGGTTTCGTGATGAGCAGGAATATCTGAGCTTGTGTCGGCGTTGCACGAGAGAGGGGTGGTGGTGTACCTAGTGTCCGGAGGCTTTCGGCAGGTAAGGGGGGAGAAACAGCACGAGAGAGATGGATAGATATCCTACGTAGGCCTTTTGTGAGTGTGACACGTGACCATGTGGTCATTTTCTCTTCCTTCGTCCGACTCGCTGTGAGCTTGCGCCTCCACCTGGGGCGCTGCTGCTGCTGCTACTGCTGCTGCTGCTGCTGATGCTGCTCGATGCCATTGTATTATGTTTACGCGCGCCATTGATCTCCACAACGTTTGTTGATACTCTGTTCTTATCTACAGCGTTTTCCTGTCCTCTGGCGGGTTTGTGCGTGGTTCTGAGCTTCCCAGAAATTTCCGTTCTTTTCATGTCTTCCTTGTCCTAAATAGATGATCGCGCCCGTGGCGGACCAGCTTTCCATTCCGCGAGGAAACATCTTCGCCAACCGTCTCCTGTTCGGCGATGAGAGTAGCGATGGTGCCACTGCGGGGGCGTACGTGGGCTTTGACACCGACGAGCCTACGTCCAGGGACGGGGGAAAGGCCAAGGTTATCGATTTGTGAGTAATAAAAGAAAAAGAAAGGGGGGTTCGATGATGGTCGAAGTTGGTTCTTTTTCCGAATTATTTTCGTCGTTGGAGCGCCTTGTTTCTTTGACTTTCAACTGCTGTGTAGAGTTGACTAGTCGACACCTGTTCTTGGTTTTCGGCGGATCTTACATGTTGGAAGGACCGAACGTTACTTCTGCCTTTTCAATACATGTGGGCTCTATCCACCCTTTGGGTTTGTGATTTCGGCGTACTGCACGTGAGGAAGTCTTGTGTGTGCTGCTTGCTCGCTTTTCAACGCCGCCCTTGAAAGGGTTGTTTTCCGCACCTTGCCATAGCAAACGCCCGGGACTCGATACGCGCACCTGTAGGGAGCCATCAATCGATCGATCGATCTAGCCGAGGCCCACACGGATTTTGGTAGCGTTCTTCGGGAAAATAAGCGACCTTCTGGCGATGTCACTTGGAACTCCATTCATTTCACTCGGAGGGAGGCTCCCGACTCTTTCTTCGCCTTATTTTCCCCACAAGTTGACGAGTGCCCTATCTTGCCCCGTGCACGACGCCACTTGTTTTTGGGCTCGCGGGCTCTCCTGCACCTAACGGCAGGCTATCGAAGGAGTTCGGCTATAAGTGCGTCGTCATGGTAGGGGACGGGGCGACCGACATGCAGGCGAGCCGTAGCTGTGCGCGCTAATTATTTTTTTCACTCACTCAAATGACGTTTTTTCTCTGTTTTGGACACTCGGTTTCAGTTTTGGACATTTTCTCTGGATGTGTCGGTTATCGGGGAAGAGGATAAACAATCCGTGAAGGAATCTGAATCAGTGCGAAGCGGGGCTGTGGGCCAAATTTCTGCTCTCGTCTTGGCAAAAAGCTGATAGGTCCCCCGATATCGTGTTTGATTTTGATTCACCGCAGGCGAAACCCCCGGCGGACGCGTTCATCGGGTACGGAGGAGTAACGGTTCGCAAATCGGTGCGAAAGGGCGCCGACTGGTTCGTCACGGACTTCGGTCCGCTCATAGAAGCCCTGAGGGATAGCGAGAGCGGGGGCGGGGGAGCCGAACCGGCCGAAAACCCGCCGCAATAGTTTCCACGCATTGTGATGACGGGGTTGTGTTTTTACCCCACGGTTTGCTCGAAACGTCTACAATCACGAGCACGGTGCGTATTGTAGTGGTTCGTCGTTTCTCCAATTTTGGCGATGGGTTGGGCGCATGATGCGTCCTCGAACGAGTACCGGCATTTTTGCCGTTTTTGGTTGTTGCGGGGAACGGGTTTGGGCGTATAATGTGTCATGAAACGGGGTTGGCCTAGTGGCATGTTTGCTCCATGGCAATCGTCTTCCGTTACTCGGCTATCCCAGTGTAACGTGTGAGGGTGGATGCTCGCAAGGCCGGCGAAGATGTTGTGGTGTGCGCGTGGGCTTCGTTCGCTCGGCCGCCTTTCGTCTGTTTGTGGTGTACGATAACACGAGAGAGGTAGTTCTGTTTTCGACGAGCTCTCACGTGACAGCGCAGCCTTTTGTCGACACCCGCAGTGAGCAAACTCTAACTGCCTGTCTCGCGAGGCGAGTTGATGACCTGTCGAAGAGGACATCTTGCTGAGTTTCCCGATGCTCAATACCCCCGCAAGATTTTCTGGCGACTGGCTGTGTTCTTTCGTTAGACTGCTGTGGGGTGCGTTCAAGATAGCACCCAAGGGAGCCGGTCAAGTGTTACGATTTTGTGGGAGAGGAAGGGGCGAGTGGGGCGGGGGGTGTCATGTTGTTGCACTGCAAAACTGAATGTTCACATGATTCCTACCGCCTACCATTGTAAGCAATGGGGAACATAGTTATTTGGTTTTGGTATCGAGTTCGTTGGGGAAGGGGGAAGGAAGGCACAAGGTGTTCCTGTGTGATGTGCGGCGGGACAAAGTTGCTCCCTTTGTCTAGCTGGCTTCAGCGGTGCAGCGGCTGAGGTTTTACCCACGAGCGCGCTTAGGAGCTCAACCTGGGCATTTTGTAGGCGTAAATGTTGTGTGCAAGCAGTGTATGATTGTGTGGATATTTCCCTGTGTGTTCCCCGCCTTCAGACTATAGGTGGAAACCCCGCAACTTGTGTGCGTCGACGGGCAAGTTTTCACTTGTTTGTTGTGACACCCTACGATTCAGCGGAAACCAACCGAGGGTGGGGCTGTAGGTGGTTCGGGTAAGACTTTTGGGCTACATATCCTATCGCCGGTGACCACGTGTAAGCATTGCCGTTTTTCGTTATGGATGTAGACGGGAGCCGTTGAACCATCGTTGCAAACAGTACGAATGGGCGCAAAGCAAGTGATTGCTGTTGTTCTACCCACGAGAAGAAGCAACAATTGTTCTGCCCATTCCTCGCCGAAAACACAAGAGCCTGCAGGAATAGGTGAACTGAAAGCATAAGGAGAAAAAGGCGGGATGCACCTTGTCGCCTCCCGCCGAATAAAATGGTTTTTGTTACCCCAGGCTTTCGTGAATGTGGCGTGTTTGATGGGAGGGAGAAATCCATCAAAGCTTTCCTGATTCCGTGTTTTTTCAGTCTTAAGTTTACGAAACTCATGAACGAGAGCAGCGATATGTTTGGGGTCACGCGGAGAGGTGTGTAGACTGGCTGGGCGGGTATATCAAACGTCGATGGTCCTTCGAAATTACGCCTGGATTCGGTCCAGTTCATGAACAGTGAAAGAACCTCAGCCCCGTTGCCAGGGGAAGCAACACCACGTGTCAGGCGGTTTCTGTCCCAACACACCTGTCATCGAAACGTGTCAAGTAACGTTAGTGTCGTCCACCACCACACATATTGTAGCCCTTCTATGGAGAGGAACGAAACGTTTGACACCAAAACCTCCCGACATACCTGCTCCGTTCGTAATGACAATTCGCCAGCACCCCTTCGACATACAATACACGACGACCATTGCCGTGTACGTTAGTGATACATTCCAAATGCGCCAGACGTAGAGCACCCCGCCCGTGTCATCTACAAGTGGATGGCGTGGATGACCGTCAGCCAACATCACCAGTTGCAGTCGCATGCGCTGCCCCACGCGAACTGGCCATAGCCGCGCAGCTCACAGTAGTCGCCCACCTCGCGGCGAGGCGCATCTGCGCAGTAGTTGCAGAGCAACTCGAGCCCGTCGGGCGTCCAGCTGCACCCCCGCCTGTCGTCGTGGCAGGCGTCGCACTTTGCGCCTTTTCCCGCGGGCACCTGGAACATTGTTTGTGCAGGAAAGAGTTTAGAGCAGAAGAGAGACACAGAGAGACAGAGACAAGAGAGTGGTGTGGAGCGATGAATACCAGTAGTCTGGTCTTCATGTGAGGGCAGCAACTGTCGGACGCGAGAGCATGGACGTGTCGGAAGCGGTGGCTTCGGACGGGTTTCTGAGCATAATGGGGAAAAGAAAGGATAGCGATTGGGCTGCCGCACGGCGAAATTTCTTCTCAGGCTCGGGATTACTGCCGAGCAAGGAGGACGCACCATATTCCTGAGGCAGCGAGCGTCTCTGCTTGCTGCTGAGAAGGTCAGGATTACCTTGTCCAGAATGATGGACTTGGGCACCTTCCAGACAACACGCTGGTCCTCGTGGTACCACTCTCGGGTCGGCGGTCCTCCGCCCGGTCGGACGTACACCGTGCCCTCGTCGCAAACCTGTCAATACGGAAACAGAAATTTGAGTGAAAACATGGGGATGGGGAGGGGGGGGTGTTATGACTCCCGATAAGCTGTGCTACACTTGTGGTAACGCTGCGCGATCACCTAAAGCTTTACGCCGAAAACATCGACCTTCGCACCCCGCAGCGCCGACCAATTGGCGCGAGCGATGGCATCACGAGAGCAATCGGCCGGAACGGAACATGTTGGTTTCAAGTCAGCCCATCATCAAAGGATATGTACCTGGCCGCAGGTCGGTGGAAGGATCGTCACGGGAAGGTGGACAAATGCACCGGCCACCTCCTTTCCTTCGTCCTCGTCGCTCAGGTACGGCACCCGTACCCACCCCTCGTTTTCGTGCTGCGGTTGGTGGCAGCAGTGCACCTCCGCAATCTTCTTGGCAGCCTAGTGAGACGGATATTGGAAGAACACGGTGCGGGGGGGGTGCACTGTAGTCTTGGCAGAATTGTTTCTGCCCGGGATTGATGCTTTGGGTCAGCGGGCGAGGTGTCCACGGGGCTTTCACTTGGTATTGCGCGTGAGAAAAGTACAGTGCAAGACTGCTGCCGGCACCAGAAAAGTCTCCACGGACACTTATTTTCGGTAAGGATGTAGGTGGCCGGATAAGAGGGTGCATCAAGACCCTACCGCCGAAGGCACCTGCTACAAATGCAATGACGAATTTGTCTGGGCTGAAACACGTGTTTGGACCACCTGTCAAAGATTGAGAGCCTTGCAGTCGATCATGGTTGTGAACAATGATCTTTAAACAAACGTGTGAACATGTCTCGCGGCATTCTTACCGCAATCGTCTCTACGTCTTTCTCGGAGCAGGAGGTGGCGGCGGTGATGGTGGCAGTGGAGGCGGTGGTGGCGGTGGCGGTGGTGGCGGTGGTGGAGGCGGTGATGGTGGTGGCGGGGGGGGTGGTGGCGGTGGTGGCAGTGACGGTGGCGGTGATGGTGATGGTGGTGGCGGTGGTGGCGGTGGAGGTGGTGATGGTGGCTGCGGTGATGGTGGAGGCGGTGGCGATGGCAGTGGTGGGGACGGGCCCGATGTTCTGGAGTCTGCGCGGTGCCGCTTTCATCCGCTCCGCTCTTGTCTCCTCCGGCTTCTGTAAGCCTTCACCATCGCGCTGGCGTTTCCCGGTTGAGGCCAACGGAACTGTCGGCCTCCTCGGGGAAGCGGGGGGGAGCGCTCGGATCGGCGCCGCCGGTGTCGATGATGGGCCGGATGCGAGCGGTGAGGGCTTCTTCGTCGGTATGGTGGGTGCCGGCGTCTTCACCGCCCTCACGACGACGGGTGCAGGTGTCCGGGTCGAGCTCGAAGGGGTGTAGGGGAGCTTCGATCGCTCAACGGCCGGCGCCGGGGGCTTTCTCGCTTGCCGACCTTGTGAGAACAACGCCTGGGTCTGTTGGACGTCTCGCATAATACAGGACTTGGCCTGCGATGACACAGGGAAGGAAAGTGCGCGTATCGGAGCTGAAGGGGAATGCACGGTAGGTTTTCGAACTGCTCGTGGAGATAAACAGAGATAAGTCGAATTCAGGTTTAGTTGCGCAAGGTTAGAAGCGCGAATATCCCCGAAGATGGGTGTCGGGAATGTCGATCAATTTGTGGAAGTCTAGGCAGCAAAAGGCGGGAGATGGGTCAAGCACCAACAAGTAGAGACTGCGTTATTCGGTGGCGGCACGAGGTGGGAGGTTGCTTACTGGTGCGCGTGCATGGTGCCTGTGGCCTCACGTCTCTTCAATTAATATCAAAGGCTCCTCTATTTGTGGTCAGCTCGCAAAGGGTTCGGCAACAGGAACAATGTATGCCCGACGAGCACTCGTACCGTTTCTAGCGGGCTCCGTCGTACCCAACTTCACATGGCACTCCATCGACAACCAAAAGCAGCACTCACCATCTCGATGCTATGGTTTCCATTGACACCGTGGCCGTTGTTGATGTTGGTGGTGGTGGTGGTGGTGGTGGTGGTGGTGGTGCTGCTGCTGCTGCTGCTGCTGATATTGGTGGTGTTGTCGCTGCCGTCGTTGTTGTTGTTGTTGGTGGTGGTGGTGGTGGTGGTGGTGCTGCTGCTGCTGTTGTTGGCGGTGTTGGTGTTGGAGGGGGAGGAGGAGGGGGAGGAGCAGGAGGAGTGGAAGTCCCTCTTGGCACCCGCAATCGTCGCCGCAACGTCGTCCACCTCGCCCGTGCGCACCACTGACCTAAGGCAACCATACCTCTTTCCCCTTCTGGGACTGTCGTTACACTGGGTTTGGTACGCCAGAGAACCGTCAGGCAAGCAGTTAGGGAGAGAGGGAGAGGAAGAAGGAATAGATTTGGTGACCTGGTCGCACGGTCGCACGACGGTATCTTGATGTCCTTATTGTTTTTTCAACCGCAAAAGGCACAGCAAGCACGCAGTTCATTCGTCTAAATACCATCATATTGCGGAGCTTGCCTCACATAGAAAGCCACGTTTAGAACGCGGCTCACAGGGTAACCAGCATCTACTGCCGGGTAACCCAAATCTACTACCGTTCGTGCGGGGTTCTTCACCGGCCATCAGAATCTGCGCCCCTCGTTCGATTTTTTGCGGTTCAAGTCCACCAGTCTCGAAAGGAGAGCTTGTTTGTAATAATGTTACTGGGTACAATTCAACCAACATAAATGCAGGTAAAGTGGACGGTGCTCAGAAGTGTGACAGTTTTATTTTTCATGTCAAGTTCCAATGTCTTGGGTGGTGGGGATTCTAGCTCCATCTCCTGTGCGATGGCCCCACACCACCAGTCCAAAACTGCTGTTACGCAAGCCCGAAATGCAGCGTAGTCTACCATGTGTACGTGCGATGCCTGTAGTAGTGCGTCGACGTGAACAGTAGTCATCGTTCATCGAGTGCGATCTAAACCATGGTACGCATGGCTTGCACCGCCACCAACATTCCACACCCGTAGTAGAATGACATAGTAGTGTACTCACGTGTACGTGCTTCGCCGGGCGAGAACGGGTCGCACGAACAGATGCCTTGGGCGGAATCTGGGAGCCTTGCCCCACCATATCCTTTGTCGGCAGGTTCTGGAGGCGAGGGCCGTAGTGCTCGTCCTCCGCTGTCAACCTTGCCCCTGCCGGCCCCCTGTACTCTGTCGAGGGAGAGCGACGGTTGGTGCAGCCAGCAGGGGGTGACCAGTAGTTGCCTCTCGCCTGATTATGCCTCCCCTGGAACTGGCGGCCGAAGGACCGGCGGTTGGTCGAGGAGTGAGCCGGTGTTTGTAGTGTCATAGCGGACCACCCGTTTTCGTCGGGAGTGGGCAGGGCCGAGGCGGGCCTGGAGGTGATCACCTGGAACGGAGATAGATTGGTTTCAAAGGGGATAAGAAGAAAATAAATAGTCCGTGATTTCATTTCCTGGGACAACATGAGTACATAAACAACTTCACGATTCTTTCAGGGTTGCTATCAAGACCGAGAAAGTTACGGAAAGGCTTCGTCTCACAAAGTGCATTCAATACACACATGATTACTAACTGTCCTGACCACACGTTGAGCCGATGGCCCCGGTGGCTCTGTTGATATCCTTCTCACGTTGAGACCTAGGTTGGAATCTCGGTATAGTCAAACGAACTTGGCATTTTTTTTGCATATGCCAAAGAAATGGGACAGTAGATGTATGATAAAATCGTGAGTGCGAAAAAATCGGCTTTACGGTCCACAAGGGGATGGCTTGAACCCTTCTCAGCATCGAAAAAAGGTTAGCTAACTAACAGAAGCAAGGTTAAGAAATTGACCTGCTGATGATGTGTGACTTTCCTCCTGTGTGTCCTCATTTGATGGTCTACGTAACCTACCATGGGGTGTAATCTGGCGTCCGGAATAGACAAGATGACAGCACACATCCATCCGCCGACTTAAATATTCACGCAACTGCCAAACGTGCCTCGGTATTATCATGTTCCTATCGCTGTGCTTCAGGTCGCCTCATGCCCTCACCTCCACTGCTGTTCTGCATGCAGGTTCTTCCTCCGATCTTTCGTTAACGTTGGAAGAGCGACATGATTGCTGCAGCCCAATGATCCAGTATTCGCCGTAAGTTCTCGCCACGAACGCCAGGACAATGAGCCAACTGAAAACAACCCAGAGTATCGCGTGCTTCATCTCAGGCTGCTGCCGTGTGTGATGTCCAGTAGGTAATCCTTTGTGCTGAGTCCAGCACTTCAGGTGAAGTTGTTGGAGCAAAAAAGACAGAGAGGCGGTTTGTTGGTTGTTCAGAATATCGTTCCCATAGAGTCGGGAGTCGGGGGAAGTAGCGCGAGGCCTATAGGTAGGACACAAGTAAGGTATCCGCTGCTGCTTCAGAAGCTGCTGTTGCGTATGGCGTACGTAGCCTAAAGCACGTTGGATTGATTCTTTGACATCGGAGTGTACAGTAGTATGGCGGGCAACGGCGGTCTTCTTGTTGATCGTTGACTGTGCACTGTATATGTCCAAAAAAGGCATGTTGTGCCGGCGCTGCGTCAGATGTCCCGGTACAACGTGTCGTTCTACGACTGCTGGGTGAGGTACACGCTTCCAATGTACTCTCTAGTCTATGCGTGTGTTGGGACAACATATGGGCATCCAGCTACCCACCGCCGTTACGCATGCCAAGCTGTTCTCGCTCAAATATTTCCAGGATCTCAACAGCAATAGTAGTCTATACACCATCTGCACGCCATTCAATGTGGACGATATATCCCAGGAAAAGAATGTAGCCTTCTTGCGATGTTCTGTTATGTGTTTTTCTAAACACCCAAGCAGTGCGTGCAGGTCGGTATCGAAACCGACCGCCGTGGACTTGCTCGCTCAACATTTTGGTGGAGAAAGCATAGGAGGAATACGCCCGCGTACCCCCGGCCTCCCCTGATAACCACGACGAGCGATCGATATCGAACTCTCTCGCACATGTATGCATACAAGATTCTTTCAGCTGTACTGTAGGCTCAACACAACAGCGAGTGGCGTTGGGGGACGATCGGCCCAGAACACCGTACGTATCTATTGTTGTCGGCGAAATCGTCTTTGTGTGCTGTAGCATGCAAGACAGCTGCCCCCAACCCCAATGGCGTCTACGTAGACTCACAGGACACCGAAGGTACGTGTATCGCACCGTGTCCGTATATACAGCAGTAACGCCAAGCGCAGCATCGCGAGATACGCTCAGTGATAACTGTTCGCCAGGAGACCAGGGTCACGCGATGCTCCCATGCGCCTTTCGATCCTCCTTTTCTTCGTCTGCAAGCCTACACTCACAGCAGCACAGCAGTGGCTGCTCACTCACCTATTTTACCCGTCCGTAAATCCTTTCTCTCAGGTTGTTGGTCGGGCTACTCTCACGCCGCACGACCGTTTAGTCGTATCAGTACAGGCAGTTCCTGTTGTCCTTCTTGCTCAAAACTGGTCTTTCGTAGTATCAGCAAACCAAGAGGGAAGTGAGGGAGCAACTGAAGCATTCATCTGCCGTGGGCCAAGTCGCTAAATCCCTGCCGCCGTGCCGTTTCGGATTTCGGGAGTTTCGCCCACGTTCGTTCGGGAGGCGTTCTTCGAGCAACTCGCCACCGGAAGAAAAAAAAAAACACTGAGCCGATTACAGAGTACGCGATGGTCTACAGCAGTCTACGGAGATACATGCGTAGTACGCTGTATCGAGTCGTCGATCTCTATGGCGCCGACTGGCTGTCTCTTCTCTGCGACCCCTCAGCATCTATTTGCTGCGGCAATCTTTTGTGCTGATCGACTCCAACAACATAGTCGACCGTAACCCATATGCTGATGTCATTTGCTTTCGGATCTATTGGCCTCCCAGCTGCGGCAGTGATCTCCGGGGCCGAACCCTTGACCATGCGCTGTGCTACTGCGAAGAAGTGAATGGGGCCTCTGTAAGAGAGCATGTATATGTTGCTCTGTGCATCGGCGAGGGGTCCGGCCGGAATTAGTCAGAGGAACCATATGCCCGATGACCAACAGCAACAACAACAACAGGAACAAGGGAACCAGACATGAAATGATTTGGGTGATCTCCCGTTGTGTTGTTTTCCCGAAGAATTCTTTCGAAAATTGGCGAGATGAAGTACCGAAAGTTGTTTTCGCCCTCCAACACAAATGACGGAATCCATCCGCCTTGAGACGAAGCGTTTCAAACGGTTGAAAGCTAAGGAGGAGAGAAAATGCTGAACACAACCAACGTAGGTCTCTACTTGGACCGCGGCTGTAACCGCTGTATCACCTTTTGTATCAAAATTCGTGCACCCCCCAATAACACCATCAACAACAACAACAATGCGCCAGAAACCCGTGTAATCAACTATCCGCAACCGTCCCTTTTTCCTTTCCAGACGAGGCAACGGGGCTCTGTCTGTTGTTGTTCCTGTTGTTGAGTCTAGCCTTGCGCCAGCCCAGAGTCCCGAGGACAGCGTGCATCATACCACCGCCACCAACCTATTAAAAATATCACAACGTGACGCGAACATAATGAGAAGCAAGGAGGAGGGGGTGTGTGTGGGTCCATCGGTTTCTCAACCTCGGTGTTCTGAGAGGGAAGGTTGCTCGTCCATATCGGCATTTTCGGCAAGGTAGTGGGGTGGGAAGGGGCGAGGTCATGTATTTGATTTGCGATGTTGCCGTGCGTGCGGCGCACTCTATTGCGAAAAGAGGAAGAGGCCGGGCATGCCACGATAAGAGTCGAATCACCCTAACGCAGTGAGGAGTCCTTTGGTAGTGTACTGGTATATAGCAACCGGTGAAAAAAGCAAAAGAGCATAGCGTCTGGAACAGAGCCTCCACCTCTAGTGGAAGGAAACGATGGCCGCCAGAGGACGACGAAAGTGGGAAAACGAATGGAGCAGGATTGAATGCGAGTCTCTGAACCTCTACCGGGGAGAGGAGGACTTGGAAACGTGGCACCTAGGTATCGCTTGTGTTTCAACAGATACAACCCATATGCATAGGAACCAGCACCTTTTTGTTCCCGTCCGCTCTTTCCCTGTCCTTGCGATTTTTTTCCTTTGCCTGTTGTTGCTTTTTTTGCCCTCGTTCAACCCCAGAGTCGCCACGGCGGCCGACACCGCCGCTACCTGCACCGAAGGGAAGGAAAAAGGAAAAAAAGGCCGAGAGGAGGGGAAAATATCGCCCATCATGTTGCGTTGGAGTTTTTCATCGTACCGCAACATCTAACGTACCAATACACAGAGGAACATCTGAGAAATGTGCTCGGGGACCACGGAAGGAACTCAGGGCTGCTCAAGTGGCCGTGTCGAGGGAAAATAAAAGAGAAGGAAGAGGCTGTTACGCGGGGGGTTGTCGGAGATTGTCAGGGCGCCGGGGCCATCGGGCTTCGCGACCGATCGTTCTCGCAACGCAGGGCTCCCAAGCTATGTGGCCTACGTTTAAAGAAAATCGACATTTCATTGGCGGTTAATTCAGACCCGTGATCTGACGACGTGTCAAAGGGAAAAATAAAGGTGTTTGCTGCACGATTGCTACATGCGGAAGTTGGTGCCGCATTTGTTGCGGGCGGCATTCATATTCAGGGCTTCGGCCGCGAACGAAATCGGTCCTGAAACGTGTCGCCGCCGAGTAACTATGTGCCGGTGTCGTGTGTATCGGTTTGCCTTCGCCTTTCCCACGCCTTCCGGGGTCTCCTCCTCGGCCGCCGGTGCTAGCCATCTCTCGCCCTCTGCTTGTGCTGTTTGCTCGGTTTCTCCCGGCACCGCTCCCGTGTTGGGAGTGTTCTGAGAAATCGTCGGTGCCGTCGTGCCCACCGTCATCGCTAAACGCGCCGCTATTGTCGCGGCGACCACCGCTGCCGCAACTGTTGCAGATGCTGTTGCTGCCGCTGCTACTGCTCCTTGTTGCCTCAGGGTGTTCCTGCGCAACAGCAGCGCGCAAGGCGGCCTTCACGCTCCGGTCATCATCCTGGGTTCGCTCATCAGTCGTGACGTCACCGCTACCCGCCGCGAACTTGTTCTTCCCTTCGCCTCTCTGCCGCCTATCTTCCACCGCGTCTCGGAAAGCGCGTGCCACCTCCGGCGTCAACACCAACCCCTTCCCGTCGCCGTCTCCCTTCAGGGACTCCGCGTACGCGATGCACTCCCCCATCTCCCGCTGCTTCTGAAGGCGAAACCCCTGCAGTCGGGAACACACAAACACAAACGAAGAGCCCGGCCGAGAAGACCGGTTCACGGTCGGTCCAATCTCCCTATCCCGCGACACATTTTCCACGTCGAACGCCCACTCGGGTCCCAAGAAAGCACGGAAGCGTTGTGCTATTTGTGAGTGGCGGCTGCCCCCCTGCCAACCCCAGATCACACGTTATCCCCCAAGTTGACAGCCACGCCGTACAGTGCATACCACCACCTGCGAACCTGAGTGTTGAGAAAGTCATGGCTAGAAAAAGAGACAACTCGATATGCTTGACGATAAGAACAGCTGCTAAGTTAAGAGTCCTATGAAGCCTAACACCTACCAGGTATATTTTTTGGTGTTGGGTCACCCCGCAGAAGGAATAAGCAACGAGTCTCGTGCAAAAGTACGAGGTTTTGAGGTGGTGACGCATACTGTACACGTCTTCTCCCTCGCCGTATCACGCCCACCACATATCCAATTCATAGCCCGTGCCTGGTTTGTGTTTACCATCTCCATCCTCTTAGCCGCCAGAATCGTCGCAAGATTTCCCCCTCACACAGTCCCCCTTGAACTGTCCGAAAAACGATCGCCCTCTCCTCGTACTTCGAATTGAATTAGCTTACACCCCACCCATATTTGGCCGGATTTTGAAGAATGCCTATTCCCCAGATTTGTTTTTGAACGCGGTGTGACGTCATGGTTGGGGGCCCCATCACCTGAAAGGCGTCCTCGAGTTGCCTTTCCTGGGCCTTGAGGATTGACTTTCGCCTCTCCAAGCGAATGCCCTCTCCCTCCACACATCGGTGATACTCTTAGTCCCAGGACCATGAAAGTGAACGAACAATATCAACGCGCACAACGAGCAACCAGCCGTATGGGCTTGGTTCTCAGGCGAGCAGTAGAAGGTACGGTCGGCGGGGAAGTAGCAGTCTTTACGGCTACCTTAACACATTTATTCAGACTGCAGTCGCTGGAGGTACAACCTACACTTTTTCGACCCGTTCAAGACAACGATATTTGATGAGAAGCTCAATCATAGAGAGCCAGAGATACAGAGGTGTAGAGAAGGCAGAGGGTGGCAAACAAGCGGCAGGACGTGAGACAAGAGGGAGGGCGGGCGGATGTGACAGTCTTACCCTCGTTGGCCGTTTCTCGCAAAGTGGCCAAAGCCTTCGCCTCCGTGGCGCGGTGGAGCTGCCGCTTGAGTGCCGCCCCGTCTACTGGCCGATGGTCCAACCTTCGAATCTTTTCGCACGCCATCAGCACTGTGATGCGGTACTGGGGTTGGGACGCCACCTGCATTGCGCGGAGTGCATCGCCGTAGTAACCGTTTCGGTTTCTTGGAGTCGTGCAGTGGTATTTTCGGCTAGGGCTGCCTAGTCGCTACACTCGTCTCGCAAAACCAAAAGGCACGGCGCGAAACTTTGGGGTTACAAGCCTTTGGTGCTGCTGTTGCTGCGGCTGCTGCCCTGGTTGTTGGGACCGTTGACGATTCATGATGGCATCGCTGGTATTGTATTGGGATCTAAGTAGAGGCCCGTTATACAACCTACTTTTGGGTCGGGCCGACCAAATCATCGAGTCACTGCAATATCTCCGTTCGCCCAGACTGCAAGAGGCGTCGCTCATGCGCGGCCTACCGTATTTCCCTCAGCGATAACTTCCGCCAGGCGAGGGAGGTTGGCCAAGGCTCTAGCGAAGGTAGGAAGGGCCGAGAGCCGGTTCTTGGAACAGTCGAGAAAACGCAGCGTCTCTACCAACCCCACCCAGTCTATGGAAACGAGCTCGTTGTCTGTGGCAATACAAGGGCAAAGGGCACGAGGTGGAAAGTTTGACCAGGGAGCCAAACAATGAGCAACGAACATGAGCAAATAAGTCTGCGGCCATTAATCTGCAGAGCATCATCACGCAGACAGAGAGACTCGTTCCGAAGCCAATGGTAGGCAAGACTTGAAATATCCGCCTCAGAAGAGAATGAGTCGCGACAACCGAACCAGTGCGTCGCCCCCAGTGCCTTTCGGTCTACCCGATACTCATAGGCTTTGAAGAAACATGGCTGAAGCCGCTGCGCCGAGAGACAGATGTCCACAAAAAGATCGGTAGAAGGCGGCTCAAGACGCTAAGGAATCAGCCGGGCACCGATTGGCCCAGCCAGCAAGGGCCGTTTCTGCCGAAAGGGGGGGAATTTCCAGCAACCTACTCAACAACATAAGCCACTCGTTCGCTGCAGTGCGAACGCTCCAAACCCAACAGTCAAAAACACATTTATTGCTACCAACAATAGCCACAGCAGTCACAGTTAGCTGCGGTCTAAGGGTTGTCGGCATGTTTCCATCGAGTGTTTGGGCTAGGACTACTGATGAAGTTGTTGAGAGAGGATCGACTAGGAAGACACAACCGAACGAGACGTGCTCGAGTTTGGTTCGGATCCTCGTGCACCACCGTGTTTACCTGCAACACTTTCCAAGCCGAAGTATTTCGGGGTTCATGCACAGCTTGGGACTCTCTACGGAACTCGCTGTCACAGAAACAGATTCGGGCTCCGCCCCACAGACGCTCTGGAGGTGGTGGCTATCGAGGTCGGAGGGCCGAAAGCGTGGTCTCAGGATTCTGGCAAGCACGAGAGATCTCAGCGTGGACGCTATAACTTCAAACTCAATCGGTAGTCTCTGGTGTGGGACAATAACCATTTCGCTGCTGCAAGCCGGATAGGTGACTAATATCGCCGAATGTGCTAGGCTGTCGTGACCGACGCACTATCCACAAGGTAAAGCTAAAGCTAGCCGAACGTGCAAGGCTAACGTGACTAAGGCGCTATATCCACACACGCACCGGAAACGTCGAGCCGTTCGAGCGACGTGAGCTCGAGAGCGGCGTCCTCCTCGAAGTTTATCAGGTGGTTGCTGGCAAGCTTGAGGCTCTTCATACGTCGGAATGCATATGCAGAGCGGGGGGCTTCTATCGAGCGTATTGAGTTGCTGGAGAGGTCCACGTGGCGGAGACCGGCGCCCTTCTTCGGCCGCTTCCCTAGTGCCTGTACAGAACCGATTTGGTTGTTTGAGGCCAGAAAGACCTGTATATTGGAAGGGATATCCGTGAAGACCCAATCGCTGGCTGAGAGTCGTTCGAGCATTCGCTGAATACACGTGAACACGAAGTGAGAGGTCGATTCGGAGATCGTGGGCGGCAGGTAGGTCCTGATGCTGCCGAGGTTTTCTATATTCAGACGAGGCCAGCAGCTGGCAACGAAGCGATATATTGTGACGCCATCGCTTAGTCGGTCCGGACTGTGTCAAACGCCCCCGCTGGTGCTTGGTCCGTTGTTTGTAGAAGTCCCTAATTCTCGATGCCACCAAAACAACTGGTTTCTCCGTATACGTTTCCTGGTGGGTAGCAGCACCCCCTCGAACCACCCCCAACACTCAATCGAAAGTGTCCTACGTACGTATGGAAATGCGCACTCGTGCCCAGAAAAACAACCAACCTGCATATTGCGAAGGTTTTGGACAGCGTCCAGGTCTCTGATTAGGTTGTACGAGAGGTCGAGGTACACCTGCAAGGGAAACGACAACGAATGCGGTTGACGGGGGAGTTGCTGTTCGGCGGCTTGATTGCATCGTCAGGGTGTGTCTAAGCCTGCATCTTCAGAGTGTATCTAAGCCTGCAACGGGAACTGACATTCTCGCTTGGCCCAATACCGCCCTGGCAATCTTGACCTCGAATCTTGTCGATGTTGGAGATTGTTTGCTTATCACAACACACGGCAGAAGCGTTTTCTTGGCTGAGACTGCACAGCGTGCGCAGTTGAAAATTGGGCCGGGATCTCACTAATGCCTTCACACTCTTTTTTCAGGTTTCCGTTTTGCATCGGTACAGCTTGGTCCCGTCTTCACGTTTGCTTACAAGCCCCGGGATCTCTGAAGAACAGTCGGGGTAAAACATGCCTGACGGAGGCCAAGTCTCGCCATAACTTCGCTCCACCAGAATGTCTACACACAACCAAGCACAAGCGCTGATATTTATACCAGATTTACCCTTCCCGGAAGAGAGGTGGTTACCAACGGATTCGAGTTGAAAAATGGGCTTACCAAGTCGCGCAGGCTAGCCTCATCCGCTATAGCATCAATCCCCCTGAGCCTGTTGAGAGACGCGTCCAAGTAAAGGCATCGCCACGATTCGTCCTTGTCCTCATCCTCATCCTCATCCTCGTCCTCGTCGTCCTGAAACGACCATGATGTGGTGGATGCTTAGAAAATTTTAGGGATATTTTCCGGTGGGTTGTTATCCTTGAAACGAAACTGTCTGACCGCAGCGTGCGCGAAGTTTCGATTCCCTCCTTGGTGTATTATACCGCACCATGTACGTACACGTACGCGTGGATGATTCCGCACGTTGTACAATTTATAGAGGAAGGGGGGAAAATCGGATATTAAGTCCCAAGCAGAAAACATAGCGAAAACACGGATCCGACTCGGTGGCTCACTTTCTCGCCACCTTTGCCAGACAGGGCCCAGGGCGAATCGCCTAGTTCAGCTGGAAGTCCGGCGAGCGACTCGAGGTCACACCAGTGCAAGTCAACGCCCCAAAAGCTTCCAGATGAAGCCTTCCCATTAATGGTTTCGTTTAGAAGGGCATGCGAACGTCGCGCACACACGTACAGTGCATGTCCACGCAATGACATCCACAGCGTATATGGTGCATGGTTCGATTTGGTGTCGATACCATGTTGACGATCGTTTCTTAACACGCCGAAAAACTCCCCCTCCCCATGAGCGGGTGCAACCTCGCCCACGAAAACTTGGCAAGGCTTCAGCACGAAGACTTGCTCGCTCTGGCTACGATCTTCTTTCCTAGTTGCCCCAAAGGCAAATAAAGTTGACGGGTGGCTGAGTTGTTTTCTGCAGTACGCATGCACACGCTCACAACCGCAGGCGATATATCGCGACCTTCACCACGAAGAAGTTGCATATTGTGATACATATTTGTAAAACTCATCCAGACCTACCCGCACATTTCCGATTATTCTTAAAAGTTTGTTTGACTCAAGAACTTTTCATTCTCTCGCCCCAAGTATTACCGTCGCTCCAGAGTCCAACTATCTTACGGCCTTGCCTCTCTAACTGGAGAGCTTCGATCCGGGGTTACACAGAACACTTCCCCTGCGTTGAAATTTTGACGCCAGAAGGATTCAGGGGTCCACAAGTTTGCTAACGGATAAAAGATTTTCCGCAAATACTGCTGTGTGGTCTACATACAAGCTGCTACAACGGAAACGAAAGACCCCACCTCGCAGAGAATCGACCTGCCGACCCTACTGTAGCCACCACTGACACATGGCCTTCGAGGTTACCACGTCAATACCTGGTGATCAATGTCGATGTCTTCCCCATGGAGCACCGGCTCCACCCGACAGCCTAGGCCTGGGGAGTCAACACGAGAGTGCCTTCCATGGCGATCATGATGCTGCCCACTTGTATCTGAGGACGAAGATCTGGTTTCTGTTTCTGTTTCTGTCTGCTGGGGCTCGTCTTGGTCATAGCGGTCCCGGGTTTGCTTGGGAGCAGCGTCAATCTCTACGGTAATTCTAAGCACCTTTGATAACTCCCCGTGAGTACCAACGACACACTCGAAGGCCCTCCGCGCAACGACCTCACGGAGTGGGCGCTGACTTCTGCTGCTGACGTTGACTCTGCCGTTGTTGCGCTTGTTAGAGCCGCGAGCCTGCGAAGCCCTGCCTGATCGGGTAGTCGTGTCTCCATTGGCTTCGGGTACAGCAGAGGAGTACGCCAGCGACTGTCGGTCATCTTCGCTGATATACCCGCCGCCACGGGATGTTGCCCGACCGGTGTCATCTTCAGCGTCGTCCAGTAGCGGTGGCCCACTGCTGATGCTGCAACAACTGGTGCTGCTGTTGATGCTGCAAACGCTTGAAAGGTCCCTTGTTCTACTCATGCTTGATGCGGATTGCAAGCTAGTCTATGGAACAGCGTTTGGTGAAGAACTGGCTCTACGCAACCACAGGATGGCGGGGCCAGGGCGATGCCCTCGACGGAAATCACGTGGTGCATCTCTGGGTGACTTCGTGCTTCATGAGGTGTGCATGCCTGTGCGGCGGGATCTCTCTGTCGTCCTTGAAGCCCGAAACGCAACAAAATATCATCAACCCCGCTCCAGCAATATCAACATTTAAAGAGCTGGATTTTTGCGATGCGATACACTTTTCGGCTCTCTATCCATCTCTCATCACATCGATCAAACACACACACACGCGCCGGCTTTCTCTTCCAAGGTCCCACACCCCAGTGCGGCTAGTTCCGGAAGCAGCCCTCCACAGGACAACACGACCGACACGTCCCCCGCCCTTCCCACCATGGTTGAAACATCGCCCGACGGACGATTTCGCTACGTGAAGGTGAGAAGAGTGGTGTGGTTGATCTACAACGGCATCACACAAGACGGCTTTTTTTGCTCGAAAACTCGACCGGTGCCATGTGCGCGCGCGAAAAAACATCAACACCATCTTTTGGCGGGCGGGAAATTCTTACCCGGGAAGTGTTGATGTACGCAACGTCGTGCTTGTTGTCGAAGCTGCTGCGCGTGCTTTTGGTTGGAAACGCTGCCACACATGCGAGGCGGGTGTTCTTTCCTCTCGCTTCATTTTTTTTATTTCCTCTCTCATCTCACCCTCTCGCGTTTTCTCTCTCTCTCGTTTTACGTTTTATCTGCATGGGTATTCTGCTGCTGCTGTGTTGGCTGCTGCTGTTGCGTGTGAAGGGAGGAAGTCGAGGCGCTGCGGGGACGGCCTACGACACGGAAAACGGACTGCTTGTTGGCTGGAACGAGTTGAATTTAAGGTGTGGCGGTGGGTGATCAGACAGCAGTTGTGGTTGAGGCGTGGATCGTCTCTCCGCTTACCGGTATGCCATCCGTCATTTCAGCATCCTGAAATTTTATGTGCTGCCCTTTCCGACATATCTAGAACAACAGCAGGCTGATCGGTGAACGGATGCTTTTTGTGGAACGTTTTGCTGAAGGAGTGCGGCAAGAGCAGCCCACGCCGGGGACACGAATGGGTGCTTGAGCGCGCGTGTATCTCTGTTTGTTTGTATGCCTCGCATTCTTGCGATAGCCCGTTTTCTTCAGCACCCATCTCCCGATCGGTTCCCGGTTGCCCGCTACAAGACGAAGAAAATACTTCGGTGTGTGGCTTCACCCACAGCTGCAGTACGTGGGTTTGGGCAGCCAGCCAGTGACAGACAGACATAGCCAAGCGAGAAACCCACACGGAGCACGATCGTAGGACGCGAGTTGTGTGGTAAGCAGCGATCGCGTTCGTCGTATGCATGGATATTTGGCCTACCTCAAGTTATCTTGAAATATGGCTTGGTGTCCCTGGTGCTCTCTATATGTATGCATTACAAATATCACACATATATATTTGGTGCCCCACGGCGGCTAATTACCCCGCCTGCCAGCTGTCGGGCAGCGGCCGGCAGCAACCGGCCTACGGGCGCCGCATTGTTCGCATCTATCCGTAGCCTAGCTTTACGCGTGCAGTGCTTTGGGGTTGGGGTGTAGGTATGCCAGCAGCTGGGCGTGCTGTGCCCCCCCTTGGTTGTATCTACTGTACAGTAGTGTCTAAATGTCAGGCCGCTTTTTACTTTGTAGCACCCCCGAAACGCGATCGGCCCGGACTCGGCGCGTTGTGCTTGCTGTCTGTCCAGTGGCCGCCGTGCTACAGCAGTATCGACATCGTGCGAGGCAAATCGGGTGTCGACATGTGGACATGCCACATACGAAGTTGCACCGTGCCTTGAAGCTCCCAGAGGTTCCCGATGCTCGCAGGCAAAGTTTACTTGTACTACTGTAGTAGGACCATCACCCGCCCTTGTCTGCTTGCTTTTTTTTTTGCTTTTCCTTGTTTGTGTATTTCTCGCTCGGGCAAGGCTCGGGTCATCTTTTTTCTTTTCGTCTTGGAATGTTTTGTTGCCCGTTCACGCGTGGTGGCTAGTGGAGTCTCGTTGATGTGGAATCCCCGGTTGGAATCCCCGATCTCAAGAATTTGTTGCCTCTGATGACCGCTTGCTGTGTGGCATGAGTCACCACGGCAAGAGCTTTAGAATAGAAATAAACCAACCATCCCGTTTGAGGACCTTGTGTTGACACACCCCCTTGGATGTTGGCTTTGAACAGGTCAGTATATCCTGCCCCAAATCCGCATCTGTACAAAGTTATAATAGCATCAAATAAAATGCATCTGAGATCAGAGAGCCTCAAGAAGACCGGAAAGCGAGCTGGCGTGTAGGCAACACTTCTTGTTGGTGTATGCTAGATACCTGCTGAAGCTGTACGGTAGTTATCCTTGCCCAGAGAAGTGATGCCTTCCAGATCTACAATTTTCATTGTTGCCAGGCACGCTCCGGCTGTGCGTGTGCAATCGATTTTTTTTTTTTTTTTGAAGATCGATTTCTCCACAACCACCAGGGTGCTATAAATACTGCTATCGAATACCGACGGCCACGTGCAGCTCTTGACGACATCCTTTCCATACCCACCCTTTTTTCGGCATGAGCAGCAAGCAGTCTCTTGGGTGTGGAGCAATCGAGATTTAAATCGACCGATGTATGTATGTCACAAGCTGTGTGCGTTCGGCCGCACGCGTACAGCAGTAGTTCGGCGTAGGGGCTCCCCGTTTGGTTGTGTAGATAAGCGCTGGAAGAGGGGGTGGGGGTCACGGCGCTCAACGCTACCGATGTGTGGTACTTGTCGATTGGCGTTGCCAAGCAACGGAGAACAGACACAACAGACACATTTTGTTGAGGGCTAACAACAAACAGCGAGGGGTCGTTAAGCCTGCTCGCGGCACCGCGGTATGCATGGGGGCGCTTGTGTTCTTTGTGGGCCGGCCGCGCGTGTCTTCGTTGTGGGCTGCGCGCTGTTCGGCAAAACAACAAATTGGAA